GGTTTGCAGAGGAGTTCCGACAGCAATTCCCGGTGCCGCCTCCTGGAGCTGCCACACGCCCACCAGGTGTGTCCCAGGCACCCCCAGTCCCTTCCCTGCCAGCCTAAAACCAAAACCACACAGGTTATGTCTCTTATCCCCCAAATGTTCATTCTGTCCCCTGCAAATTATGTCGGATTATTTTTTCCCAAAACCCTTTATTGTTCTTACATAATTACCTCAGGGTTTGCCCCCCAAATTCTACCTAGTGTTTACTACTGATCACTTCAGTTCTACCTCAATGTGTTTATTCCATGCCCTACAGATCTTCCCAAGTTTTACCCCCAAAATTTCCTTGTCTACTCCCAGTAACTGCCTCAGTTTGTCAGTGTTCACTCTCCCCCTAGAGATTTAACCCCCAAAATCTTCCTTAACTGTCCACAACTTATTACCTCATTTTTACCTAAAAATATTAATTCTCAACCTTTAGATTATTTCAGGTTTTGCCCCCCAAAATTCCCTGTCCACTACTGATTCCCTCATTTTTCCTTCAGCATTATTTGCTTTCTACCATGTAGCTTTTGTCAAGATTTACCCCCAAAATTTCCATGTGTACCTAATTTTTACTTCAAAATGTTCACTCTACAGATTATTCCATAAAATTTTTACCCAAAATTTCCCCATCTGCCCACAAGTGATTCCCTCACATTACCTCAGTATGTTCATGCTCTCCCCTAGAGATTATCTCAGATTTAGGCCCCAGATTTTCCCCACATGCTCAGTATTCATCACCTCATTTTTCCCTCAAAGTGTTCATTCTCTACTCTTGGGATTTTGTCAAGTTTTGTCTCTGAAATTTTCCTTGTCTACTACTGAGTACCTCAGTTTTACTCCAATGTGTTCATTCTGTCCCCTACAGATTACTTTGAGTTTTACCCCCAAAGTTTCCCTTCCAGTACAATATTGATTAGCTCTTTTCTACTCCAGAAATTTGCATTCTCTCCCCTAAACATCACCTCAGCTTTTCCCTCAAAACCTTGCTCCCCTTGACATCCCCTCACATTTTCCTACACAAACAGTTCTTGTCTCCCCTCTCAACTGCCCCAGGTTTTCAGCTAAAAATGTCACCTCTGTCCCCTCTGAGTTATCCCAGGTTTTCCCAGTTAGGAGCTGCTCCAGTTAGGAATTCAGGCAAAGAGGAAAGGTTTCAGAAAACACTTCTGCAATTAATAATTAATAATTATTTCCAATTCCCCAGTGAGAAGAACATGAACTCACAACCATCAAGGCCTGGCAGTTCCTGCAGCGAGAGCTCAGTGCACATCCAGGGAGGCAATTCCAGCATCTGAAAGAAAGAAAGGAAGAAGAAAAAGGTGATTTCTTTTGTTTCAAAGTTATTTCAAGTTCCCAGACCCAAACCAACCTTGGCCCTTGATTTTGGCCGGGTGAATCCTGAGCAGTGGGCACAGGTCCTGTCATTCATGCTGATGGGAGTGATGCTTTCTGGGGAAATCAGCTGATTTCCAAAGTTCACTTTGCCTGCTTTGCACAGGAGAAAACCTCTTCCATGAAGGGATTTTGCTCCATCCAATCCCATCTGCCCAGGCTGTTCCATGAGGATGTTGCCAGGCTGGGGCAGCACAGGCAGATGCAGCTCTCAGCTCTCTCTGCTCCAAACACAGCTCTGGGCTCCTCTGCAAACTCCTCTGCCATGAGGTTTCTCCAGCAGAAATCAAGGAATGGCTCACAGCAGGTGGAGATTAAGTTATCACAGAGGGAAGTAAAGGATAAATATTCCTGTAAGAGCCTCTGGGATCTGCTGGGCTGAATGGGGAAGGGCACATTCATTCCCTGCAGTGCAAATGCACAACAGCCTCCAACACAAAGCACAGACTGTCAGGTGGGGTCTGAAAGCACCACTTGGACAAACCCCATTGTCTTTCTTCCTTCCAGGGACTTCTGCAATCAAAGCCCAAAAGCTCTGGAGTCTGCTCTGGAACAAAAGGATACTCCCAGGGGTGAGGCCCATTCCCAGCAAACGCTCCCAACACGGCACAGAGGCACCACTGGAGCTCGTGCTGGGGCTGGGAAGGGCTGCCAGGAGGACACAGCCCCCAGGTGGGGTGGCAGTGGCAGTGACAGCAGCAAATTCCCACAGTCTGACGGCAGCACAGAGAGACAAAGGCCAGCAATGCCACGGGAGCTGCGGGTTTAATTCCGCTCCCTGCGCTGCCACATCCCGGCAGGAAATCCCCAGGGGACAGAAACTCTCAGGGTGCACAAAATGCAGCACCTGTGCCCCTGACCCTGCTGAAACTCAGCGTGTGGGGCCAGCCCCAGGGAACACTGAGCTGCCCTGGACCAGCCCCAGACCCTGCCCCAGTTCTCAGCTCCCCCTGCTCCCGGGGCTGCCCCACATTCCTGACAAGGAGCCCAAGGCACACCTGCACTGGCACCAGCACAGGCCCATCACTCCATCCAGGTCCTCCAAATCCTCCCAAACCTCCCCGTCTGTGCTTTGGCCAGTGCCTGCCCCGAGGCTGTCACCCAGCCCTGCAACATCCCGACCTGCAATCCAGAAGTTTTAATGCTGGAGTTTGCTGCACTTCTCCCCTTCAGTGTTATTTTCAGGAAGTAACAAACCCACCACAGTGCAAGGGGAAAAAAAGGTGAATTAAGGAATGTTTTACTCACACACTCCTCACTTTACCCCTCACAACCACCCCAGCATGAAACAGACATTCAGGAATTAGTGTTCAGTAGCTGCCACTGGAATTTTAAGGGATATCAATGAAGCCTTGATAAGTATGTGGGGCAGTCCACAACATGTTTTCCTTGCCCATCTGTGTCAGCATCCAGCACAATTCCCTGTTGCTGTTTGGTCCCCAGGAGCTGCAAGAGGAATGTCAGTCATCAGGAATGTCAGCTTCACCTCCTTGGCGTCGCCTCGTTAGTCCAGAAGATAATTAATGCGAAGAGAATTAATCTGGTCAGCGGCAGAAGATCATCACAGCCAAACATCCTCCTTGCCACAGGATAGTCCCACCCTGTGGCCTGTTGTCTGATCAAGAACTCCTTCCCAAACTCAGTCATTCCAACTAAACCACAGCAGCACAGTTTGGAGGGACAGAAGTTTTCAGCCTCGTGTGAAGGAAGACAGAACTACCACTGGGAGAAAATCCTGAAGTTTAAAATCCTATTCCTCACTTCTTTGACTAATGAACCTCTTAAAATCCAGTCTGGATTGTGCAGAAAAGTTCCTTGGTCCCACTTGGAAATTGATCTCCCCAAAACATCCACAAAAGCCAATAAATAGTTATTACAACTCATTCCATTAATTACTATGGAAAAGACAATACAAATAAACTGGAAAAAATTTGGCTCAACTTCTCCTCAGGAATGAACTGGGAGCTCACCAGCAAGGATTTCTGACAGGTAGAGTGTGATACAAAATATATATGTGCATATATATATATATATAATATATAAATAAATATATATATATTTATACACACACATATAAAAATATATAATACATATTTATATCACAAAGTATCTATCTCACATATATCTGCCATATATATATATACACATATATATTTATAACCAAAAATGTTTTTGTATCACAAACTCTACCTATAAACATTCCCCCCTTTTTTTCAGGAATGTAACATTTTTAGGGATCCTAAAATCAAACACATGCAGTGCTCTGCAAAGGAAAATAAATCACAATTTTATCCCATTAATTCCAAGATGTTTTCCTAGATGTGCTGCTGGGTGTTTTCCTGTAAGCTCTTGTGGCTTATCCATGAAGTGTACTTGTAGTTGTCAGGATCATGAAATCCATTTGGAATTTTACTGTCTCTGTAATGGGATGAGTTTTTCCAAAATTATTCCTCACAGACTGAGCGCATCTCCTCAAGTTCCCTCTCGCTTTCTGCATCCTGGAAATGCCAGAAGGAAACAGATAAATGTACAGCTCGATTAAAACAAATAAAAAATAGCCTCTCCCTTCTTCTTCTCCAACCCCAAACCGGCTTTTAAGCATATTATGGAGTCCTGGAATGGTTTGGGTTGAAAAGGACCTTAAAGCCCATGCAGTTCCTGGGCAGGGACACCTTCCACTAGCCCAGGTTGCTCCAAGCCTTGCACACTTCCAGGGATGGGGCAGCCACAGCTTCTCTGGGCAACCTGTACCAGGGCCTCAGCACCCTCACAGGGAAGGATTTCCTCCTAATCCCTGATCCAAGCATAATCTCTTTCAGTTTGAGGCCATTCCCCCTTTTCCTGTCATTCCAGACCCTTGTAAATTGTCTCTCTCCCTCTTTCCTGCCACTGGAAGGCCACAATTAGGGCACCACGAACTTCTTTATTCCAGGCTGAACAATCCCAATTCTCTCAGCCTTTCCTCAAGGCACAGGTGCTCCATCCCTCCAACCAGCTTGTTGTCCCCCCTGTGGATGCAGTGACGCAGCTGGGATCTCAGGAGTGGAGCAGAGGTGCAGAGTCCATTTTTGCTCCCTGCTGAGCGTTACCTCTTTGGTGTAGCCGGGCAGCTCCGCGGCCAGGTCCATCCACAGCACCGCCGCCGAGGCGTTCCCCAGGTCCCTGTAGCACTGGGAAGGGAAATGGCCACGGCACAGGGGTTACATGGGGGAAAAACAGGCAGCAAATGCAACGGGGCAGCTGCTAAAAACAGCTGGTTCTGCCTCTTCACCCTTTGCACTGGCATCTCCTGCAGTATCCCTCAGCCACAAGGCCTCAGAAGCACCACCAGATCTTGGAATACTAAATATATGCTCTTTCATTTTGGGGAAGGAGATTGGGTTTGTTTGGACATTTTAAGGTGTCTCTGTGGTTTTCACCCTTTTCAAAGCTCTACTTTGATTTTCAGTTGCTGTTTCCCCTCTTCCTCACACCATTTTCTCTACAAAACCTCTCTCCTGGGAGCGTATCATTCCCCAGTCTGTTGAAAATGTAATAAATATTATCTACAGGAGTCTCAGGTCCCAAAATAGGTATGAAATATTCTCCATGTGACCAGCAGCTGAGGCACAGTGATCCCTCTGGGAACAGGAAGACTTTGGGTGCCCAGAGAGTCTTGGAGGTATTTGGAGAAAATGAAATACACTCAGGAAAAGGAAGTGGGTGCTAAAAACCCCTCAGCAAGAGGGCTCAAGACTCCCATGCTGGAAAGAGAAATCCTTTATCCTTTACTTCTCCCCATGATTCTCTGGTTTTATCACCACAGAAGTCGTGGTGGGGAAGGATTAAACCTCCAGCCCACAGCTGCCAAGTCACCATGCCTGCTTTGTACAGAATTTCATCTGTTAAAAACCAGGGATGCTCCACTGGGTGACTCAAAGGTAAAATCCCTGAATTTTAAAGCCTCTGCACGAGGTGATTTGGTCTAAAAAGATGTAAAGGATAAAAGGAAATATTATCATCCTATAAAATTTTGCTCCTGCATGGAGTATTTTCCACCTAGTCAGCACTTTACAGCCAAAGGTGATTTTTAATACAAATATTTCTTATCCTCTGAACAAACAAGAAGTGAGTGGTTACCTTGGCAATGTAAACTCTTCCTGCTTTGGAAAACCCTGGGCTCAGCTCCTCGACCTACAGGAACAGAGGCAGGGTGTCACAGGGAAGAGCAGACATTAGGATATGCAAGGACACAGTTAATTCTTACATCAGGCTCACTGCAGCTTTTAAAGGAAAAAAAATAGATGGCAGGAAGGAGAATCCTAATAAATACATAAAGCACCATGCCCCTGAAACCTTCAAGCAGTTGTTTCGAAAAGTTTGAAATGGAAGAGTCAGCCAGGCTTTAAGTAAAACATTCTGAGGGAGGAGCTGCCAGCTCCCAGACCCTGGAAGCACATCCCAGATGTATCCAGCACAGAGCAAGGAATCGCTGCGCAGCCTTAGAAAGGAAAACCAACCCCCCTAAAACGATTCCCAGCACTTTGGGCTGTAATTCTGACATCTGCAACATCCCATTCTTTTCTCTGGCCATTCTGGAATGGACACTTCTCACCAGCTTTCCTTCACCCAGGTCCCAGGCAGTGGGGAGGCACCAGGAGAGATCCAAGTGGCCCAGTGCCGTCCCTGTGAGCTGAGCAGTCAGTGATGCCCTTGCTGTGAGCTGAGCAGTCAGTGGTGCAGTCAGTGGTGCAGTCAGTGATGCCCTTGCTGTGAGCTGTGCAGTGATGCAGTCAGTGATGCAGTCAGTGGTGCCCCTCCCTGGCACATTCCCATTTCCTCACCCGCAGGAAGTTCTGGAGCGCGTCCTGCACCGTGGCCGTCAGGGGGGCCTCGAACAGCGCCGACACCGTCCTCTTCTCCAGCCAGCCCAGGTGGGCAACCTGCACAGACAAAAGGGCAGAGTGGCCCATCCATCTGACACCAGCACGGGAACAAGGGCCTGCACAGTCCCTGGGAGCTGCTCCTGCAGCAGGGAGGAGTCAAACCCCTCGGCAGTATCGGAATATTCCCATGGAGTATCCAAGTCCAGCCACAGAATTCAACCCCATTTGCTTTCCCTTGTCCCAGGTCACTTTCTGCAGTTCCACACATCTGGGATTTGGATGGCCTCAAATCCCAACCTGCCATGGTGCAGACACACCAGTCCCCACCTGTGCTCTGCCTTCTCCCAGCCTAAACCTTCCACAAGAACCTGCTCCCTCCACCCTGTGATTCCATGAGAGAGGCAGGCTGAAGCCTTCCCACCAGATAATCATGGGATCATTTAGGCTGGAAAAACCCTCCCAGCCCATGGAGGCCAACGTGTCCCCACCTTGTCACCCAGCCCAGAGCACTGAGTGCCACCTCCAGGCATTCCCTGAACACCTCCAGGGATGGGGGTTCCACCACCTCCCTCTGACAATACCCTGTTTGATCCTGTATAATTCCAACAATGCAGACTAGATGAAGCACTACCATACTTCTCCACCTGTGGTTTTATTCCACAGCTTCAGCAGCTCCAGTCTGATCATGAAGGAAGGATCTTTTTCCAGGAAAAGAGCCAGGAGCTCCCAGAAGTTCAACTCAGGATTGCTCTGTAATTCCCACCCTCAATTATCCCAGTTACAATGTCTGCATTGTGGCTCCATTCCCAACAAAGTGCTTTCCAATGGAACAGCAGCAGTCACTGAAGACTTTTATTCCATTTTTAGGCTCTAAATCTGATTGAGAGCTTGGCATCTGCCTCCAAGCTTTTCCCTGTCAGGAAGCATAAAGCAGCTGGCAGGTGCTGCCAGTGCCTCCAATTCTGTGTGTGGCAGGGGGACACATGCAACACATCACACACCAACACTGTGAGCAGAAGCTCCTCAGATGGCCTTGACCACATCTCTGTGTGCTCAGAGCATGGAAGGAAGGTTGTTTTCACCAAGCAAAACACTGGGAACAGGAAAGGAGTTTGCAGCTGGGGGTTTTCCTAACCAACCTTTGCCATTTCCCCTCCCATGCCAGCAGCAGTGACTAAAACCCCAGGCTGGAGCTCTGAACCCTTCAGAGGCTGCCCAGGGGCTGAGAATGAACTCTGTTACCTGGTAACACCACCTGCCCAGCAGATAGTAGAGCTGTGGGTCCTGTGGCTTCAGGGCAATGGCTTTGTCAATGTGTTCCTGTGGGAAAGCATCACCAGCACGTGTCACTTCTTTGTCAAAAGCAAGTAAAATACCCACCAGAGCAGGTGGAGAAAGAGGAAAGGAAGGAATCCACAATTTAAGTGTCACAAACAGTAAAATGAGACTGGATTCAGTGAGCAAGGCAAAGCAGCATTTCTCCAGCCTCAGGGACAGGAATTGCTGCACACACACACACACACACACAAAGAAGCTGCCCTGCATGCAGCATTTCTCCAGTCTCAGGGACAGGAACTGCTGCACACACACACACAAAGAAGCTGCCCTGCATTTTACTGCTGCTCCAGAGCTTTGCCATAACCTCACTGATCATGCCAAAGGCTGATGGGGAAACAGTAACCTGTGGCCTGTTCCATGTATATCCTTTTCCCCTGGAACATCCACAAGGCATCATAACAACAGCAATAATATTAGGAATAAAAAAAAAGGGAATTTGAGGCAAATTAAATCCTCTTTGAGCAGAAACTGCTTCCTGGGAGGGTGCAGGTTGCTCACAGGCACATACTGCAGACAAGCTGGTGCTGTATGTTGTCACCACACAATAATTCCATGTTTCAAGCTCCAAGTCTCATTCTTTACCTAAATTAATTTGCAAGATTTCTTTTCTTTCTGCAATTAGAGTGTGTAAAACTGCAGAGTCAGCCTGGTCACTCCCTAAAGGCATGGCTGGAATCAGTCTCCTCACCCCAAACCACCCACTCATGGCATCTCTGAAATCCACTGCTTCCCTAAGAAGAAGTGGAGCCAATTTTCCCAATTTCCTGCTGCAGAAATGAGTGTTGTTTGATACTCACACAAAGCCCAGCACCTCCTGGCCACTCACCTTGAAAACATATCCAGCCTGGATGCGCTTGGAAATGCTCTCCTGCTCCGACACCTGCCCACAAAGGACGGCAAACCTGCATGGGGAGGCACCTGCATGAGCCAGCTGGGACTGAATCCACATTGAATCCACATTTACCTGCTGTCCATGGCTGCAGAAGGAAAGTGCTCAAAGCCAGGCTGGACAGAGCTTGGAGCAGCCTGGGATAGTGGAAGGTGGCCCTGCCCATGGCAGGGGTGGAAAAGCTTTAATGTTCCTTCCAACCCAAAGCATCCCAAGATTCTGTGAAGTGCATTAAAGCTTCACACCTTAGTGGGGAAAACAAGGAATACAGCACATCCCCCACAGGAAGAGACACAAGCAGCAAAACTGTAGCACCCAGGAAGGAAGGAGCTGGAAGGAAGAGGCAGCCAGAGGGGTTGGGTGCGACACAAACTCACTGCACTGATGCCTAAAACCAGGAGCAGCACACCTGCACAGCTGGAATTGCTTCTCTGAGCAGGGAAAGCTGTGCCAGAACCCAGAGCAGGGCAGAGTGAAGTTGCTGCAGCAAGAGGCAGACTAAGAGCAGCTCTAAAGAACTAAGTGCACAGCCACGCCCTTACACAGCAGCAGCACACAGGGCTCTGCTCCCAGGGAAACACCTGGAACACCTACCTACATCCTGCAGCTGGCAAACAGAATGACACGTGCTCAGTGTTGAAAGTGCCAAGACATTTAGTTTAGTCCAGTAAGAGACCTTGAGCTGTGAGCCTGAGAAGCAAGGCCCCAGCAAAAGCAGCTACTGCACGAGCTGTGAAATTCAAGATTAATTCCCTGTGGATTTGCACCCTCCCACCTCACCTCCCTGCACCACAGCGGATCAAATCCTCCCTCCCTGCATCACTTCCCAAGAAACAACAGCTCAGAGAGCTTCAAGTGGGACAGAACATGCAGATGGAAGTTTGGCCTCTCCTATCCTGCTTGGGCGAGAGCTCTGGGAGTGGAGGACATTTCCATCCCTGCTCTGAGTTTGGTTCAAGAAATACCAGGTGGAACAGAGAGACAAATCAATAACATGGCTCATTCTTGCAAAAAATAAAGCTGAAAAGCAGAAAGATGCAAATAAAAATCCCCGTTCCTACACCCACACCCCAGTGCTGCCACAGATCCCGATATCCCAAAGCATCCTTTGGGATGATTAACCACAGCAGATGTGCAGGAATCTGTCAGGAGACCTTTAAATCTCCAATTACACTTTCCTCAGAGTCACAAAATCCCACAAATCCCCTCACACCTCACTGCTCCATTTCCAGTGTGTAAGTTACAGCACGAAGTCACGATTCCTGAACAATTTAGCATTTTGCCTTAAATCTCTTCCTTTGGTACCTTTCTTGTGGAAAAGCTCTTGGATCAGCTCTAAAATTCTTAATTTTCGTGGTAAAGGCAAGGATTATCAAATCAGTGGGTTATGGGACATAACATCTTTTCCTATCAGCTGGAAAAAAATCTTTCCCTGCTGCTGGGGCTCCACAGCCCCACTCTGTTGTGTGCAGATGATGGAGTAAGTGTTTTTAGGATCTTCTCCAGTTTGTTTCCCAACAAACACCAGCCTGAACTAAACATCCCTAACCACAACATGACAGGGGTTGAGAAATACAAGCCAATAAAAAGCTTATTTTCTAAGATCATGAGATAAAATACTCCTAGACAATAAATCACACAGTTGTCTCATGCCAAATATAAATTCCAGGGCTTTTTTAACAGCCTGGTGAAATGTTGATAAAAAAGCCATAAAAGCAGCAATAAATTAAATTTCAGTCCTATTTTAGTGCCATGAAATAAACTAAAAAAAAATATATATGGGAAGAGACACCCAGGAAAGATAATTCTTCCCAACCCAGCTTTGCTAATCCCAGGTTCTGGACTGTGGGGGATTTTCACACCCACAACTCTGCACTTCTGGGATTTTAGGCTCTGCTTTCTGCTGTTCTCTCCCCTGCTTGCTCAGCTGGGCAGGATGGAGTCATTTATTCCAGCTCATTCCATGGGATGCCTCGGGATGAGCATCACCAGAGCACTGTGGAGGTGCAGGAGGGCTGAGCAGCAGCACCAGGAGAGAAAAAAATCATGATGATGGGGGTTTTCATCCCCTGCAACCAGTGGGTGCCCTGTGCATTACTGCTCAGATCCATCCAGAGCTTTCCTTAGGATATCCCTTGATTAATTAGCAGCCAGAGCTCCCATTAAGCTGCTGACACACCACTTCCCCCAGGAATCTCAGCTCAGGATTTTCTCGTTTATTAGAAAATAAACTGTGAAAGCAGGAACCCCCAGCTGAGAGAGCCTGATCTTCCAGCTTAAATCTCCAGGATTTAAGGAGTTTTTGGGTTCTGCACTCTGACTTCCCTGGAAGCAGGACTCTGCTATGGAATACAGAGCCTCCAGCATCTCCCCTCCACAGTCAGGGAGCTCTGCTAGCCCAAACACAGCTCTTAGCTCTTTTAACCACCTCAAAGAGAGTTTTTCCAATGTTTTGTGAGCATTCCCAGTTTTTTACCTTCCTGTGCACTGGGTAGATGTATGTGAGTCCCTCCACTTGAGTAAGGGGACAGGGAATTAGCAGGCAGGTCTTTAGACTGCAACAAGCAAAAATTAAAATAAGAATTTATTTGGGAATTAGTGTTTTGGGAGAGACAGCAGAATTCCCAGTGACTCCACCAGAAATTAATGACCAGCTAATCCTGAAGAGATTGGGGAAAACAACTTTGGCTCTTCCAAGGGGAGACAAGATGGAAGGAAAAAGTGGGGAAGGCTGACGTTCCCTGTTCCTTACAGCCACAAACACCAATATGGGAGCGCTCCCGTACTCTGGATGTTCACGTTTCTGAGTTCACCTTCCAGGGCAGACAAATCAGGGGGCTGCACTCAGACACCTCTAATTCCATGTTATTTTCCCTCCACTACATTCTGAACTATCTAACACCTATTGCTACAGCTGCTCCTGCTCCATACCACACTGACAGCAGATTCCCTGTTTAATCTGCCTGCAGAACAGAAAATGCTCGGCTCATAAATCCAGAATCTGGCTCAGAATTGGCCAGATCTGGGCAGTGACGCAGCAGGAGTGAAATCCTGAAGCATTGCCAGGTGTTAAATCAAAGCCATCTCCCAGGCACATCCGGAATGCTGTGACTTTTCAAAAATCCAGGATCTGCCCACGGCCAGCCAGATGTACCCACGGAACTGAAAAGGGCTGGTGATCAAGATGTTCCACCAGACTCTCCAGAAGAAAGGGCACATTCTGGAGACTCAGCCAACCCAATCCCACTTCTCCATAACACTCAGGACAACCCCAAGGGGGCTGCAGCTTATTATTCCTCCCACAGCGAGGGCTTTCAGCAGGCAGTGCTTCATTTCCAGGGCAAAATGTCCAACTCAAACTACAGCTCCTGACACAGCACCTGCACCATTTTCCTCAGGTTTCTCTGAAATCCCTCTGGTTGCACTTCCAGTATTACTTTTAGCAAGAGGAATGGAAGCCAAGGCAAATCCACAGCTCGCTCTCCTTTCCTGATCCCTAAAGCTGCTGCCTTGAGCTTGCAGCTGTGCTGCAAAGACCCACAGGGAATAGGCTGGGAATTCTAGAAGGCCACAGTTGTTTCTCAATTCATTTCTGACAGGTCTGTGTAGCCACTGATGCTCCATCCATCCATCCATCCATCCCTAAAAGTAAAACCAGACTTGGGAACTTGCTCTGTCCTACTCAAGAGCTGACATGAGCTCATGGAGAAATCAGTTTAAATGGACAAAAGTTCCACCTGCTCAGGGATCTTTGACAATCAAAGCAGAGGCAACCCTGGTGTCTAAATCCAAGGTAAGAACCAGGTAATTGTAAGTCAGGAGCAGAGAGGCTCTAAGATCATTCCCTGTGAATCCCTCCCCTCCCACACACAGATCCCATCTGAAGGCACTAAATGCATTTAGTGCCCAACACAACTGCCACATTTCCCAAGGGAACATCCCAAGGGCAGCAGGGGCAGAGATCAGCCCCCTGCACAAGGCTGGCTTGTCTGTGCAGCCCTGACCAAACTCCTGCTCCATCCTGCCCCGAGATGGCTCCCTTGGGACCGGCCGGCTTCCAACACAGCAGCTACAAGGAGAGCTTTGTCCCACACTCCACGGCCAGAGCAGAGCCATGAAAGCCTCTCCTTTGTGCTTGGGCAGATCCCAAAGCCAGGCCAGACACAGCCCCACACACTTACTGCTCTCCCTGGCACTCCTGAGAAACCACAAATCCTTCCAGCCCTGAACGGAGCTGTAGCCAGCACTGATTCCCCAGCAGAAATCCTTCCCTTCCCCACTTATTTTCTTTCTTTGTTTCTTTAAAACGTCAGTGATGACTGAACAACAACGAGGCACTGAGGGGAGAAATCTTTCCTTGCAATGGTAACTATAGGCAAAGTACCTCTTGCCTTCCTCAGCACCTCAAAAACTGGGAATGATGTGGGCAGCAGGAGGAAATAACAAGCACAAAAGACAATGAATAAGCACCAAAAACCAGCATAATTTCATCTGAAGGAATCCACAAACTTTCAAGAGGCAACTGACAAAAGAGAAAATCAACATGAAATGATGCACACGCACAGAGAAAAAAACTCAGCCCAGGAGACCTGCACCATCAGGTTTCACACAGCCCGTGTGGAGAGGCAGCTAAATAACTGGGAATAGTTCTGTTAAAGTGGGAAAGAGAAAGATGCTGGTGTGTGCTGCTGTGTGTAGAAGAAAGAATGCAAAGGACCATCACACCAGCACAAAGCCATGCCACTCTCCCAGCTTGTGTCCTGCACTGAATCCATCCACTTTTTGTCTGAAAAACTGTAAGAGGGAGAAGAATATTGGAAAGACAACATGGGTGGTGAGAGATAATAAATTATTCCCCTGTGACAGAAGATAATAAAGGATTCTTCAGCAAGGAAATTAGTCACTAGAGAGAAATATAACAGAACAAAACTGTAATTTAAATAAATGTGAACAGTGTTCTCTGATCACTTCCCCCAAGAGCTGGGACATCAAATCCGCCCCAAAAAAGCTTTAAAACCTCTGCTGCTTTTTCTCCCCAGGGTAAATTCAATTAGCATAAAGAAAGACTGCAATTAAGCCAGCTTGTGACCACTTCAGAGCTGGGAAGGGAATAATTTCCTGTTCTATTCGTGGCAGAAAATAGTAATTTGTGTGCTGATAAAGGGAGTTACATATTCATTCCCAAGAAATCCCACACCTCCCACATGCTGCTCTGCTGCTTCCTTCCCCCAGCTGCCCTGGAGAACTGGAAGCAAGATGTAGCTGTGCAGGAAGGAGCCTTATCCCTGTTTGGGAAAGGGGTCTGAGGGGCCAAGAATTGTCAAAATTCCGAAACTTGGAATTCCAAGGCAAAACTGTCAATATTTGGACATGGGAGTGGAACCTGGCTTTGTAAAACACAAATTCTAAGATTCACTCTGGCAACTAAACCCCATTCATTCGAAGATGTTAAGCCAGCAGACAAGAGCCCAGCACCATGATCTGCTGGAGATTTTCCTGCTCCCAAATTCCTGCTTCCAATCAAAGCTTTAATTGAGAGCAGTAATTCATTACCAACAGATGAAACACAGTTTAAGATGATAAAGGCATTTATTCAGATGCCAGTAGTTCAAAAGAATCCTTCAAGCAAATTTACTCATTGCAAGAGCACAGATCTTGTTTGGCAAAGACACTCAGGAACCTCTTTTCCCAATAATATTCATTAAAGAAGAAAAAAAAATCCCTTTTATTCTAATTGAAGTGCTGTCAATCCTTCAGTGCAACTGCTGACAAACACCATTCACAGAGGAATTCACCAGAGCAACAGAAAAGCAACCTCTCTTCCCAATAATTTTCATTAAAGAAGAAAAAAAAAATCCCTTTTATTCTAATTGAAGTGCTGTCAATCCTTCAGTGCAACTGCTGACAAACACCATTCACAGAGGAATTCACCAGAGTAACAGAAAAGCACATTCCCTTATCTCCAAGTACCTGTGCCACTCCACAAACTCTCTTTTGGAGTAATTTTTACAAAGGACATTTAAAAATCCCCCACACGAGCTGGAAGCACAGCCTGCTCCTCCAGGCTGCTGAAGGGAGCCAGGTCCTGCCCCCTCTCCTGCCTCCTCCCTGAAACCCTGGGCAGAAATGTTGGTCACCACTGCCTGGCTGAACTGCAGATCACCTCTTCTTTTAGCATGGAACAAATACATAAAATATCTGTGTTTAAATAAAGAAGAGCCACGTGCAGCTGTGTCCCTTCATGTCCAAGCCAAGGGCCCTGCAGGGTGATGAGAGCAGAGCCAGCAGTGGCAGAAAACACTTCCAGGAGACTCTAAAAGCCTGTCTGATGAGAGTGATGGATTTCCTTCCTCCAGAACTCAGTGGAAAATAGGGAATTTGGCACAGCACCAAGCCCACACTCCCAGACCTGGCTGATGGAGTCAAACACATCCCCTCTTGCCTCAAAAACAGCTCCACCTGGCAGCTTTTCCTCCAGAACTCTTCAGAGAGAAATTCATAATTAAGTTGCTGTAAGATACCCCAAATTTACTCCTACCATCACAACCAAACCTACTGTCTGTCGAGTTATTCCCTACACCAAGTAAGCAAAGCTGTTAAAAATGGCTTTTTATGGAAAAACGCCACGAGTGTGGCACAGTGCAAGCAACAGCAAAGAAGTTTGTAGGGGGTTTGTATTTTTTTTAACTGCAGCTCAGCTCACAAAATCCTCCAGGTCCTTTTCCTACGCTTCTTAAAAGCAAGAAGTAAAAAGTCACTTACCACTGGTGGCACTCAGCACTTTGATCCCATTTGTGCAAGGCAAGTTCCAGCTCTTCCTTCCCTGGAACAAAAAAGTAATCAGAGGTAAGAAATTCAGTTGTTTTCTCTCCCAGTTTCTTTCTCTCAGAGAGGCTGTCAGAGCAACAGAACAGCATAAAAGTCATATATTTGTCAATTTGATAATGCATTTGGCTTGGAAACATCCCATCATTTTATCTTCTGGCAGGTTCAAAAAGCTGAAAACTAAGCAACTATTGATGGCTAAAAGAACAATATAAAACTCAGAATTCCATGTTTAAATGGCTCCTCTGATTCCCAGAAAAGAGTAATTATATTAGCTACAGTATTAACTAACTCTATTTTGTTTTGTGCATAATAAACAAGACAGAAATTATTTAGATTAGTATCTTTTATTGCACATCTTAACTGTAATAGAGATTACTTTTTTCCTATTGTGACTCACCTAAAATCTTGCAGACACCTTTGAGGTGGTAAGGAACAAAGAGGGAATGAAGTTAATGCGAATTTAAAAATAGGTATTGTTTTCATATCTGCACGTGCTGGGACAGAGAAAATCCAGTATGCTACAGCAAAGCTTGTTTATTTTATATTTATGGTTTATTTTAGTATCACAGAGAAATGGATGACAGGTTTGAGAAACAACTTTCCCAGCTCTAAGTACACTATTTAGACTCCTTCAGAAAGCTCAATTTTTAAACACAAAAAAAATCCATTTAAAACGCTGCTTCCCACCCCCCTAAAAACCACATTCTCGGGAAAACCAGTGAATCCACGGCCCTGCTGGCAGGCGGAGGGGCTGTGCAGCTGAGTGGCAGCAGGGAACTGCTTACCCCCTGTGGCATAGGACCTCCTCTCGTCCTTGTCCTCCGTCAGCTCCCACATGTCGCAGTGCGCCCGCGCCAGGCGCCACAGGAACTCGCGCTGCCCCGCGTACTGCAGGGAACACAAACAGCCCCCGCGGCCCGCGTCAGCGCTGCCTGAGCAGGGCACTCGCAGCTCCAGGCACGCAGGGATTTTTCTGAGCCTTAAAATGCCCCAATTCCAAAGGAAGAACACACCTCACAGTGAGGGTGAGTTTGGAGCTCAGTGCTGCAGAGGAGTTCCCTGTGCTGGGAACTGCAGGGGCACCTCCAGTGCTGTGCCCAGCTCTGGGCTTCTCAAGTCAGGAAAGGCAGTGAGGGAGGGGATGGGGCATGTCCAGGGAAGGGAACAGAGCTGAGGGGACTTAGCCTGGAGAAAAGGAGGCTCAGGAGGGACCTTTTCCCTCTCCATAACTCCCTGACAGGAACGGGCAGTCAGGGGGAACTGGGCTCTGTTCCCAAGGAACAAGGGATAGGACAAGAGGAAACGGCCTCAGGTTGTGCCAGGGCAGGTTGGACACCAGAAGGAATTTCTTCCTGGAAAGGGTGGTCAGGCAATGGAAGGGGCTGCCCAGGGAGGTGGTAGAGTCCCCATCTCTGGAGGTGTCCAAGGAATGACTGGACATGGCACTCAGTGCTCTGGGCTGGGTGACAAGGTTGGGATCAGTTCCAGGTTGGACTCTGAGCGAAGAAATCCCTCCTGACATCCAAGCTGACCCTCCCCTGATGCTGGAAAATACAACAAGGCACCTATACCGCCAGCTTGTTGTTGAGGAGCAGCTGGAAGCCCTCTCTCCTGTCCTGCTCATCCCCGCTGTGCAGGCGGTCAGCCTGCTCCAGGAGCTGGCCCAGCCCCTCGTCCAGCGAGGCCTCCAGCAGCAGGGGGTTCTCATCCTCGGGGGCCAGCTCCAGGGAGTCCCTGCGCATGGTCCTCACGGTGTCACAGCTCACTTCGTCCTCGCTCTCCCGCTCCGACTCCCGCTCCGACTCCCGCTCGTAGTCGGACTCGGCGTTGGCCGTGGTGTAACTTTGGGGGAAACAAACATCACCAAAGCAGTCTGAGGAGCTGTTCCTCGGGAGAAGAACGCTATCTCAGCTTACCCCAGAGAAAACTGCACAACCCAAGTGTCCCACACAACCTCATCTCTCGTATCACCCTCAGAAAGATGAAGGGTGAAGGTGACAACACAGTTAAGTCCTAAGTCAGTTTTGAGCAACCTGCTCTATGGAAGGTGTCCCTGCCCAGGGCAGGGGTGGCACTGGATGACTTTAAGGTCCCTTCTCACCCAAACCATTCCAGTATTCCAACTGTCCCCACCTCCCCTGCACACCCTGTCAGCTCCTCCTAACCCCAGTGATCTTGTAACGCTCAGATCAGAGCTCCTGAGAATGGAGAAAATTAAGCTCGCCCAGCACTAAAGCTGGGAATTTAAAATTTTAGATTTAAACCAGGGTTACACAGTGGTACTACAGCAGGAGGGAGTCTACTTACAGAGCTGATTCCTTTTCAAACAAGACTATCTGTCTTGTTTGGAAAGGAATCCAATTCTCACTTTCATCTGCAAGCTTTTAACTACAGAACAGGCACAAACCAGCCAGTCACTTCAAAATGTGCACTTGAACACAGGGAATTTGTTGATTTAAGTCAGTAACTGCCCAAGAGAACTTCAGCAGCTCTGCTGGATCCGAGTTCCCTGCACTCTGGGGCACTGGGTACCTCCAGCTGTGCTTCCCTCTGTCCTGGCTGATTGCTCCTCCCAGGGACAGCCCTGAGGCCCTGCCTCTGTCTGGGGACACAGATATGTGACCACAGCCCCTATCTGAAGGAGGCAGTGACAGGGCTTTGCCCACACACAGATAACAAGACACATTTGGCTATCAAAGCTTCCTGAGAACCATCCCTAATTCTCAGGAATTCCCTTCTCTGCTCCTTCGCTGCAGCCTCCAACCCCCACCCAGACTTTCAAAACCCCACCATGCTGTCCTGAAACATTTTAAGGTGAGAAATAAAGCACCAGCCTCACACTGCAAAGGCAGGAGATGATGGGGCCATGCTGGAGATGACACTGAATTAATGGACAACCAACACAAGAGCAGGTGACTCTGGCACGGCTCTGCCTCAGATTAAAACCCTCATTTATTTACATTTCTTAATAATAATGAATTATTAGTTCTCCAGACCACCCCATTTCTAGAAATTAAACACAAACTCCTCAAATTCCCTGACTTCCCCATCCTAAGCCCCAAGATTTTACTGGCAGCTGCCAAGGTTTCAGCCCTTCAGCTCAAAAACCAACCGTGTTTTCTGCCAGACAGCCCCTACGAGATTCTGCCAGTTCAAAAACACAAGGAAGCCCAAAGTTTTCAGGGAGATTAGGGGATTTAGGTGCTATCAGCCTGTCTTCCTGAGTTTACAATGATGGAAAGCTCTGGAATGCTTTAATATGGCAGTCCTGAAGGAAAACAGAACCCATGGGAAGAGGAGGTGAAGAATCCCAAAACCCAAAGCCACACAGGGAAATTAAGCAGCACAACCCCCCTGAAAAATCTTGGGAGATTTTTGAGAATTGTGTCTGAAATTGGAGAAGCTGCTCATGCCCACACGGTTCACAAAATAAAGCTGAAATTGGGGGTTCCACTGAAAGAATTCAGCAAGGAACACCCAGCTGAAATCCATCTGTTGGCAACAGGCTCATCCTCCTCCCAGTGCATGCTTCAAAACTTCAATAAATTTTTCCAAAATTTGCATTTCCTACCCTGAAAATGTTACTTTTCAAGCACTTTTATAACACTGCACACTACAGGCACTGGTCCTGGCCTGACTGATATTTTTACACCCCTCTGTGTAGCACCAAAGTGAGGAATACCTGGGATTCCAGTTTTACATCAGGTGAGAGCTGCTAATCCACCAATCCCCACACTGGTGATTACAGCTAATTACAGATGTTAATTAAAAGGTGAGGACTCCACCAACCACCACTGGATTCCCAATAAATTAACGAGGTTTTGCAGCGAAATACACCCCTGTCCCTTCAGGATGTGCCTTTTCTGTAACCCTGAATTCTTGGCCTCTGTCACAACTCACACTTTTCTATGATCTGAGAGGAGCCAGGGCTGGGATGTGTGGCCAAAATCCTCTTTTCCAGCAGTTTTAAACAAACCCTTGTCCCCTGGTGACTCAGTGCATCTGCTGTTACCCAAACACCCAAGCCCTGCCTTCAGAACCAACTCCACAGCTCCAAAATCTGTTCTGCAGCCTCGTTACCTATTACACCACCATGAATCACTCCCTCCCTAATTTCCCTCTCATCCCAACACCCACTTGAGCTGAATGAAGTTCTACAACCCTCACCAGCTCTAGTTATTAGAGACAAACAGGAGCTTAAGGCAGTCCCAGATTCCTGTCCTTTGTCCTGGCAGGACAAATCCCTGCTGAAATGCCAGCTGGCACCAGCTCTCAGGTCATCTGGCTGCCCAAATTCCCCCACTGCTCTAAAAATTAAATACTCCCACTGCTCTAAAATCCCTCTTTAAATGATATTTCATCCCAACTGCTCTGGGAAAATGTATATAGCAGCACCAGCTGTTTTGGGACACACTTCCATACCCCAAAAGCGACAGAAGTGGTCAGATTCAGGCACAAGGGAGCAGCATTTCCTCAGAAAATCAGCAGTCACAGGCGCAGGAGAACTTGTTACCTGTCCAACAGGAATAAACCTGCAGCTCTACTGGCATTTTTAATGATGTTCTTACACCACACAGAACTTTCTGTCGTGTGCAGGGCCAAGAGCTGGACTTGGATGATCCTCCTGGGTCCCTTTCACCGCAGGATGTTTGCTGATCTGATGATTTGATCATTTTAATATAATAGAAAATATATTGTCTGGAAATTTGATTTCCAAACTCTCTTACACTCCATTGCCAGGCTGGACTCGTACTTCCCTTCCTTCTGCAAGGTTCCTTAATCAAATTGTTTCTTTAAAACCCCTCAATTTTTTTTTCCTTTCTCTTAAAGGATCATTTCAGGTCTCTCAGTCTGGCCCTGGCAGTAACACACTGTAACAAAAGCAAATTAAAACAGGCTGTAGGGGAAGAAAATTCCCTTCTTTATCTTCCAAACTGCCCAGATGTGGCACCAAATCCCCTAAAACATCTGTCCCAGTGCTCTGCTTACCCCCCTTCACTCTCTCCATCATCTGTGTTGAGCTTCCCTGAGCTGGCTGTGAAATAAATGGAGCTGGAGCCTGTGGAGTCACTTCTCTCCCTGGAGAAGGGGAACTTCCTCCGGCGAGCCACGCGCTGGGTTTCCTCCAGGTGGGTCCTGGAGGGAAAGAAAAAGGAAGAGAAATAAATATTTGGTAGTGAAATGTCTGCTATTCCCGTTCTCCTCTCCAGCAGACTTCAGACAATTCCCTTTCTAGGCAAAGAATTCACGAGGTGGCTCACTCCTGTTTGTACAAACTCAAATGGAGCTGATGTTGTGTTCTGTATGATACATAATATATATTATACAATACAATGTATCTAATATAATGTATTAGGTGTTATTTTATATCATATATAACATATACACACAATTAGATAATAGATATAATGTATTATATATATAAAGTTACAGTTATATATCATATCATGTAATGTATTGTTACATTTTGTATTATGTATTAATGTATTATTATTGTGTTGTTATATTATGTAATATATAATGTATATTGTATAGTATATCATATATAGTATTATGTATTAATGTATTATTATTGTGTTGTTATATTACGTAATATATAATGTATATTGTACAGTATATCATATATAGTTATATATTTTACATATATGTATAATGATATAATATATAATATAATGTATCTAATGTAACTTATTAGATATGTTAGATTATACACTACATATGCTATATTATGTTATATACAATGAATAGTATATAATTATATAATATATAATGTATAATATATAATGATTGTTATATAATATAATTATATAATATATAATGCATAATATGTAATGATCATTATATAATATATATCATAGAATAGAATGATTATTATATTATTATATTATGTATTATATATTAATGTATTCTCATGTAATATATAATATATACTGTATATTATATAATATATAATATGCATATTATACAACAATATGTATAAGTTATATAATATCTATTTTACGTATAATATATAATAATATAATATGTAATATATAATGGTTTATATTACATATATATAATTTTATATAATATATAATATAATGTATCTGCAGGTAAAGCAAATCCCTCTCCATGGACAGCCCATGGCCAGCCCTTACGGAATCCACAGATGTGATGTCCATCCAGCCCCTGCAAAAGGAACTGGAGTGACAGCACAGGCTCAGACTGGAAGAGAGGAAATTTAGGCTGGCTACAGGGACTGGAACTTTCCCTGTGAGGGTGGTGCAGCACTGGAATGGATTTCCCAGGGAAGCTGTGGCTGCCCCATCCCTTGGGAGTGCTCCAGGCCAGGCTGGACGGGCTTGGAGCAGCCTGGGCCGGTGGAAGGTGTCGCTGCCCGTGGGTGGGAGGGCTCCGAGGTCCCTCCCAGCTCCCGGGATGCAGCGGCAGTGTCCCAGGAGAGAGGGGCAGTACCTGATTTCCCCCACGATCCCCGCGGCCAGGTCCTGCAGGCTGCTCCGCAGCTCCTCCACCTCCTTCCTCAGCTCGGCCACGTTGCTCACCACGAAGTCCAGGCGCTCCAGCAGCTCCAGCTGCTCGTCCTGCCTCAGCAGGGGGCTGGGCACGGCTCCATCTCCATCTCCCGCCGGGAGCAGCGCCCGGGGCACCGGCACGGGCACGGCCTGGCCTGCAGCACAGCACAGTCAGATCCCAGCGGGAAAGGATTCCGGGGGGAGGGGAACGTGCATGGCTCCGCTGGCAGGGGACAGGAGGCTTGCTGTGGGTGGGGACAGAGGGGAGCAGCAGCTCTGCTGCAGGGAAAGGCTGGGAGAGATGGGATTGTTCAGCCTGGAAAAGCCAAGGCTCTGCAGTGACCCAACTGCCCCTTGAAGGAGCCTAAGGAGAAATGGAAAAGAAGCTCTTTGCAAGGGCCTGGAGTGACAGGACAAAAGGGAGTAACTCCAAACTAGAAAAGAGGAGATTTAGAAGGGATACTGGAAGGAATCTTTCCCTGTGAGGGTGCTGAGGCCCTGGCACAGGTTGCCCAGAGAGGCTGTGGCTGCCCCTGGATCCCTGGAAGTGTCCGAGGCCAGGCTGGTTGGGGTTTGGAGCAGCCTGGGATAGTGGAAGGTGTCCCTGCCCATGGCAGGGGTGGCACTGGATGAGCTTTAAGTTCTCTTTCCACCCAAACCATTCCATGGTTTCATTTTCTGTTCCCGAAGTTTGGCACAGATGTGGATGACATTCAGGAAGTTCAGGGTTCCGAACCAGCATTCTAAAAGCCCAACCCCCCAAAGCTCACTTCCCCCTGTCCCGGCCCCATTCCCCCCTATTCCAGCCCTGCTCCCCCATTCCATCCCATTCCCCGCATTCAATCCCTATTCTCCCCTACTCCAGCCCCATTCTTCCTTTTCCAACCCCATTTCCCACATTACAACCCCACTCCCCCCGTTTCAACCCCATTCTTCCAACTCCAAGTGCGTTTTCCACCCTTCGTATTCCAACCCCACTGGTGTCTATTCCAACCCCATTCCATCTCCTCCATTCCAGCTCCTGCCTCCCTATCCCATTTGCCCATTCCAGCCCCATTCCCTCTATTCCAACCCCATTCCCCGCATCCCGACCCGGCTTCCCCGCCGCTCGACCCCGCTCGTACCGCGGCACGGCGGCCCCGCCGCCTCCTTGGAGCGGCGGCGCATGACCCAGATCACGCCGAGGCAGAGGCCGGCGCCCGCCGCCAGCCCCAGCGCCATCCCCAGCCGGGGCCCGGCCCGGGCCGGCTCCGCCACCGGCACCACCATGGCCGCTCGGGCCGCGCGGCACCGCCCGCGGCGCGGCGCGATGGCGTCACGGAGAGGCGACTACGGGGGGGAGCGAGGGGTGGTCTAGGGGCGAGTGACGTCATGGGCGCGCGGGGCGGCGGGGCCACGCCCACAGCGGCGCGCGCGTGCGGTGGCAGCGCGACAGGGACGGGGACGCGGAGCCGGAGCCGGAGCTGGAGCCGGGCCGCCCTCCGCCGGTGTCACCGCCGGCCCCCAGGCCCTGGATCCGCGGCATGGCCCGGGAAAAAACCCCCAAGGCCGCCGGCTGCCACCTGCTGCCACCTCGGCCGCTGTCCCGCCGGGGTGACAGCACCTCGGCCCGGGTGGGCAGGGGACAGGCCAGGTGTCCCCACACAGCCCCACGCTCTGCGGGCGCTCCCCCCGCTGGGTTTGGGGTTCAGCTTCCAGCAGTGAGGGACAAACGTGCCCCAAAAAATGGGAATTTGGGGTGCCCAGATCTGGGGAGCTGAGCAGAACCGGGTTGTTGCAGTGAGGGAGCTGCTCTGGGATTGTGGGCACAGAGCCAGCGGGTTTTGGGATGAGACAATGGATTTGAGGTGGAATAGGCCAAGGAGACAGGAATGGCCAAACAATCATCCCATGCATGTGGGGCTGGAATTCTCCCTTCTACAGGAAATGTGGTGGGATTCCCCCAGGAAGAACTTCTTTATCCCAGAATCATTGAAACTAAAAATACCCTTTTCTGAAAAAGCCAAAGGATTCCTTAGGGAAAGGTGCCACTCAGGAGAGGGAAAACCCTCCGTGTGTGCTCCCTGCTCCTGGGGTTTGGGTGACAGCAGGATTTGGGCAGAGCCAAAGAACCTTCTGCTTCCCTTCATCTGAATTATTGGGAGCAATTCCGAGCCAGCCCAGTGCAAGCAGAGCTGGGAGCAGCCAGCTGGGAGCCACAGGGTGATAAGCTGCTTTGGGATGATGGATGAGATCTGGCTGCCTCCCAGATTTTGGTATCTCCTCAAGAAATTCAATATTAAAATGTTATGTATAGCTCTGCTCCCATTTCCCTCTTTTTTCCTTCCTATCTTTTTTCCCCAGGAAAGAGCCACATAAGAGTCAGACCCAGAGCTGGGCAGGCTGCCAGAACCCTGGCTAGTTTTCCTTTAATTTCTGGAAAAGTCTGGGTTTCATATCCATGTAATTCCCTGCGTAACCACAGAGCACACGTGCCCAGCAGAGGTCCAGAGTGGTCATGGATTATGGGAATTCTGTCAAAATCCAGCCCAGCTGGGTGAAATGTGCCCTTGGTTCATTGGGCAACAGGTTTGCACTGGGACAGGAGAGCAATGAGCAAACATTCCAGCTGTTCCAGGACTTGGGGAAGAGGCTCTGCTGAGGATGGGAATGATCAAAACAAGCTGATGTTTAACCCTGGGGGGAGGTGTCCCACAGGGAACTCCTAATGGACATACTGGGATTTGTGGGACGTGCTTTAGGAAGAGACCATCAGCCTCTGGGGTTTCTTGTGTGTCACCAAACCCAACCAAGGGGTCAGTGACAATGTCAATAATAACAATTAACAACAACAACAATAATAATTATAGCAACAACAACAACAATTAATAATTAATAACACATCAATAATAACGGATATGCAGCGCCTCTGCCTCCCAGTCTCAGGAAATTGAACTTCTCCAATTATGAAGGAATTTAAATCCCCCATGTTCTCAGACAATAGGAGCCAGTATAAAAAGAGATTTTTTCCCAAAAAATGTTGGTAATGCTGAACATTCTGCTTCAGGGGAATGTTTGGTCAGACTGGAGTGGGAATGCTCTGCAGGGCCCACCTGCCTGGCTCCTGCTCCACCATCTCCCAGTCCTCACCTCCCTGCTGTTATTTCCTGGTCCTTTATCTCCCTGCTATTAATTTCCGTTTTCTTCGTCTCCCTTATCCATCATCTCCCAGTTCACTGCCTCCCCGCTCGTCATCTCCTGTCCTGCATCTCCCTGTATCTCCTCTCCTGCTCCATCCTCTCACTGCTCATCGTCTCCTGTCCTCTATCTCCCAGTCCATCACCTCCTGCTCCATCCTCTCCCATCCTCTGTCTCCCGGTCCATCATCTCCTGCTCCATCTCCTCCTACTCCTCACCTTCTGTCCCCTCCTGCTCCATCACCTTCCAGCCCGTCACCTCCTGCCCATCCCGTGTTGGGAGGGCAGTGCCGAGATCCCGAGGGATCCATCGGAGCCCCCCGGGTTCCTCCGGGAGCCTTTTCCCCCCGCCGCCCGGGGGCGGTGGTGGCGGGGCGGGACCGGGGGCGGCCCCGGGCAGGTCCCCCTGGAGCGGCGGCGGGAGCGGCGGAGCGGAGATGCCGTACCTGCTCATTAGCACCCAAATCCGCCTGGTGAGTCCCGGGGGACCCCCGGGGGTGGGGAATTCCGGGGGGCGGGCAGGAACCGACCGGGGCGAGCCGTGAGACCCGCTCAGCCCGCGGTGCCACCGTCACCGGTGCCTCCGGTGCGATCCCGGCGTGGGCTGGCCCTGCTGCTGCTGGGGGGTCGGGGGTGACGCAGCTTTGGGGGACCCCAGCACGGCCAGGCTGTGCCCAGAGGCCGGTGAGGGGTCCCCGTGAGAGCCCCCGGTGCCCCCACCCCGGCTCTGCTGCCCCAAACCCTCCTGTCCCAAATAGCGACTCACTTGGGAAACTTGCGGCGAGATCCCACGAACGCCCTCGCAGCCGGTTTTCCCTCGTCCCCAAAAAGCCATTCCAGGGTGGAAAACGCGGCCAAGGGAGTGGGCACGGCTGGGGCAGACGGGAGCCGGGCAGTGGTTGGGATCTCTGGCTGGGATCAAGTGTCCAGGAGCACCGGTGGGATTGCTGGCTGTCCCTGTCAAATAAAGCCACAAAGCAAACGTTACTCCCCGGCACTGGCAGCGCCCACATCCTGCAGGACTCTCTAGGAGCCCACAGCTGTGTGTTTATCTGGGGTTTCCCTTTTCCCGGCATCCAGAAGCCTGGATCTCTTGGTGTGCTTTGGGGCAGGAAGCAGGGGCAGTGAAAACAGCAAATGAGCAAAGGGAGGGAGTTGTGATGGACACTGCTGCTGCTGCCACTGGAGATGTCCCAGAGGAAGCAGCCGTGGGTTGGGAATGGGGATTTGTGGGGATGCTGCAGCACCAAAGCATCTGCTGGCAGTGGCATTTGGGGTCGTACAAGTTGATTGAGTGATTATGGATGAGGTAGAGGAAGGGACGCATGGATTATGGCACTGGAGGGAACAGCCTCCAGAAACAGAGCTGTCTCTGCCCTCCAGAGACTTTGGAAGCTCTGCTCTTTGCCAAAGGGGAAAAGCAAACATTTCCAGTGTGAAACCTGGCACTGAGCTGAGGCTGGAACCTTCCTGGGTGAGCAGCTGCACCTTCCTGGCAGTGGCTGGGACAGGGGGTGGCTGTGTCACCATGTGTCACTCACCACTCTGTGCCTGTCCCACAGGAGGCTGGGCCCACCATGGTGGGCGACGAGCACTCAGATCCCCACCTGATGAGTATCCTGGGGGCCACAAAGAGGAGCACGCTGGGGAACAACTTGTAAGTCCTCCTCTCCTTATTTTCCCAAGAAATGCAGAACATTTTCACTCCTGGAATTCCCCACAGCACCTTCCAGCTGTACAGTTAATCCCAGGACTCCAATGTGTCCTGTTAATGTGCACAGTTAATCCCAGGACTCCCATGTGTCCTGTTAATAAGGAAATGCTGCCTGATATTTCACTTGGTTCTTTACTTTCCTTTGCTCTGACCCTGTTTTAGCACCTGACCCCCCTTTCCTTCTCTTGGTGCCATCCCTGCCTTGCTCTGCCTGTGCCTTTATTGGTGCTGAGACACCAGAATGCTCACCCGGTTCTGTCCCTCCCATCCCTCCCAGCTGCAGTCTGTTTGTCCATCCCATCCCACTCTCCAGTGCAGCTCAAGGCTTCACCTGAGCCAGCCCTTCCCAACAGCTCCTAAATCTTTTCCATGGGCAGCTGAGCCCTGAGGTTGGAGCTGCTTCCCATTGTGTCACCCCTGACTCCGACCCCTCCACTGGTGTGTTCCCAAGCCGTGGATATTTGACACTTCTCCATGTCCCCACCTCTGACCACACTGAGTTTGACCCCAGCCTTTGGCCAAGGGCCACTCAGAGATGTGACCAGCATCCTCCTCATGGTTTGGCCCACTTTTTTTTCCTCACTTGGTATCCCACTTCCTGGTTTTCCCTGGGGTGGGGAAAAAAACCCAAAACAACAATGGCAAAGCAAAACAAACCCCCAAATGCAAAAGAACTTGACAGAGAGGAGCAGCTCGATTCCTGCTGTGTTCCATGTGTTGTGGTGTGGAGTAGGAAGAGAAGGCATTAAAACAGAAGGTGCATCTCATCCCAAATGTTCCCAAGCTTCCATCCATGGAGCTGGGAAAACCCTCCTACTCAGCACCAGCCTGGCCAACACCAAGGGCTGGATCCTCAGCTGCTGCAGCGTTAAAAATCTCAGTGGGCTGGGAAATGTCAATAATAAGGAGATAAAATATAAGCATAGAGGGCTGCCCCATCCCAGCTGCTTTCCTGGGGGGTTTGCCGGGCTGATCCCTCTCCGTGCTGCTATTCCCAAGCCCGTGGGTGGGGCAGAGATTGGCAGCAGCGCCAGAGTCGTGCTGCCACCCGCCGTGCGGAGCCCGGAGTTACGAAACGGGATGGGAGACAGAGAAACACAACAGGCTCCAAGAAGGAACTGGATCCTGAGAGATTTGGGCGAGGATCCCTGGGATTCAGGTGGAAAAGGAAGGCAAAGACAGATAAAAGCCTCTGTGGTGCCTGCCCCAGCAGCTGGGGGAGCCTCAGCACTACAAGGAAAAGAAGCACCACATTCTGCCTGTTTTGGGGAAGGGATGTGAGCTTCCTATGGGATCTCCCTGGTGGATTCACCACCTTTCTCCTCTCCCTGTGGCCCGGAGCGTTTTGAGCTCCTCTTGCCCCACCTGCTCCTTGGCATGGTCTGTGTCACAGCTGGGAACTCCGCTGTGTCCCTGCGGCACATCCCTGCGGCACAGCACGTCCTCCCGTGTGTGCCTGAGCAGTGGGGAAAGTCCCCTGGCTGCTGGCACCCCCGGGAGCACAGCCACGTGCCAGCCCAGCCGCCTCCTCCGGAATCCCAGCCAGGGCTGGGAGCTCCGGGATCCGCAGGCTGAGCAGGATTTTCCATCCCCAATTCCTTCATGAGCAGAGCCTGGCTGTGGATGCTGCAAACCCCCTTCCTGCAGCACCTTGGGACTCAGAAATTTAGCCATGACCTTGTAGGGAGCTTAGGAAAAGAAAACCCCAAGCAGCACAGACCTTCTGGGAAACTGGGATGTAGGTGAAGCTGAAATCCCTGTAATGAGGGAGCTGCACAGACACACAGCCCCTCATTAAGTCCCACAAGGTGTAGGGAGCAGGGATGTGGTCCCTGCCCTCTCACTCGGGGTCAGAGCCCTTGGGGCAGCCAGGTGGGGCAAGGGGTGGGGTGGGTTTACCTGGAAGAAAAGGCTTTGCAGGTATCCCAGCCCCTCCGTCCCAAGTGGATGCACATGGAGATGGCAGCAGATCTGTTACCCGGAGTGTGCAATCTTCATTTCTCTGAACACACAGCTGGGATAAAGCCCTGGGAGCTCTTGCCTCCTGCTTTTAGCTCAGCTACACAGTTTTTTAGATTTCTACAAATCCCTGCCTCTGCTACTTCCTCTGAATAGTGGGAATAATATTTACCAGCTCCCACTGCAAATCTGAAGGGTATGTGGCAACCCTCCTGGAGGAAGAACAGACTTCAAAGACACTTATAATAATGCACATTATCTTTACACCACATCTATAATTACAGCCAAGTACAGTCTGTCTTGAGAAACTGGAAAATCTCTCACATCTCAGGTTATTTTGTGCTTTAAAACACTCCCAGCTCCAGCACGGGTCTGAAATCCAAGCAGGAGAAGCTTTGGAAAGGCTTTTGGATCTTTTTTAATCATTATTAGTAGGAAAAGCAGGAGAAGCTTTGTTCAGGTGCCCAAACAGGATCCCCAGTGATCCTGCAGCCCATCATTATCTGCTCTTATCCAGCACTGTGAGTCAGCTGCAGCTGAGCTGCTCTGAGCCTTATCCCAAAAGTCATGTCAGAGGAGAGGCTGGCACATCCAAAGGTCTCACTGGCCAGCTCAGCTCAGCTGTCCCAGGCCAATTCAGCCCAGTCTGTGCCTGGTCCCTTCACTGGGGAGCAGTGTCACAGCCCTGGAGCTTCTGGGATTCAGGGGTAGGAATGTGGGAATGTGCTCCAAGCCTGGAGCCAGCACAAACCAGCGGGGAATCAGAGCTGGACAAGGATCCCAGTGTCAGCTCCCAGGCACTGCTGGAGCAGAGGAGCCTGGGCTCCACCTTGCCTGGCACCTCCATGCAGGATGAAGACTACTGGCTTTCCAAAGGTTTCCCACCTGGCTGAAAGCAGCACTTTGTTCCAATTCCCAAATTCTAACAGTCCCTCAAACCCACCCATCTCACAGACATACTCTGACATGGGTAGGACACTGGGATTTCATTCCTTAGAAACACCTGAATAATTCCTCTCCTCCTCCATGAATTCCCAGGTATGCTAAAAACGTGCTCACTGTGTTTACCTGTGAACACTCTGCTGCAGTGTCAGCCCAGTCACCGAGCAGCATGTGGCTCTGGACACCAGCCCCTGAGCCACATTCCCATTCAACCTGATCCTTCCCTCCTGGACAGGATTCCTGTGGTTTGGCACCTCGGGCTGTGCCTTAGGGATTAACCAAGGCCCTGTGTCACACACACCTGTGCCAGGTGGGGCTGCTGGTCTTAGAGGGATCAGCAGTGAGGCAGGCTCACTTCCACCAGGGAATTCCCATCTCTTCCTCCCCAGCTCACCTTATTCCCATCTTTCCCGGGTGCAGCTGTGAGTACTACGTGAACGACGCTCCGCGCGTGGTCCTGGACAAGCTGGAGAGCCTCGGCTACCGCGTGGTCAGCATGACCGGCGTGGGCCAGACCCTGGTCTGGTGCCTCCACAGGGAATAGCCAGGGAGAATCCTGCGTTCCACCCGGACAACATCCTGCTGGAGATCATCTTATAGGACTGGCAGCAAACTTTCCCCCCTTAATTCCTTCCTGCCCCAGACTCCAGGCACTCAGGCAGGGGGAGGAATGGCGCAGAGGCAGAGCTGGACCCAGTGGAATTTTGCCATCCCTGTTCAGTTTCCCAAGAGCAGGGGGAGGAAGGTATGCCCAGAATCTGGCAGAGGGGACAGATGGCTCCAGCTCTGCCTTCAGTGGGATGGCAGTCTGGCACATTCCAGCTTTTTACATTTTAATCATGTTTTCAGCATGCCCTGGAGGAAGCTCAGTAACAGCCCGCTTTGCCTCCTGCTCAGGGTGCCCTGGAGAGCTCCATGCCTTCTCCTGGGCCAGGGGGTTAGGGAGGGACAGCAAGCATGGACACCATCCCATCTCATCCCTGAAATCCAAGAGGGAACCACTAAGCCTACTTCCAGTGCTTTGAGAATCCCTTCCCTTGGCAGCAAGGCCTGCTTCCATCTCAGCAGCACCACCAAACTTTCAGATCCCAGACTGCCTTCCAAGCCTAACACAGGATTCCTAAAATAACACAGAAAGTGTTCTTGTGTGACTATTCCAGGTGCAGGCTCTAATCCCAGCACTGCTGGAATGTTTGGGACTGTGCATGGATTCTGCTGTGGGGGTAACACCAATAAAACATTGCTCCAAAGAGACCAATGTCCTTCTGTGGGTTGTTTAAAGCTGTTGCCAGATCCCTCTGGATGCACGGCTCCTGAACAAGCTTTCAGGAATTAAAAGCTCCAAGGTTTGGTGTTCTGATGGCACCTCTCACACCTTGTCCCATGGGATGGGGCAGCTGTTCTGAGCACACACACTGACAGGGTAACACGTGCACTCTGTGAACCTCAGGCAGCCATTCCTTCCCCAAACCTGGAAAGGGATAAGGGCCGCAGTCCCTGGGAGTTTCTGGAACCTCAGGCAGCCATTCCTTCCCCAAACCTGGAAAGGGCAGCAGTCCCTGGGAGTTTCTATTCCCACAATACCTTTAGAAAAAAGGAGGTTTATTGACTTAAATAAAGAAACAGCTCTGAAGGGACGGAGGGGTGGGAAGAATCCATACTCTCATGCTAAGTGTGGGACTTTTCCTCCTCATCTTCCCGCTGGAGCTGCTCGATGAGCTGCTGCCTCTCGGCCGCCTGGCGCATCCTCATCATCACCAGGCTCTCGTAGTCCCGCTCCGACACCACCGACGCCTGGAAGGAGCAGGAAACACAAACAACCTGTCAGGGGCAGCACAGACTCCCAGACTTGCCCAAATCCCCCTCACAACACCAGCATTCTGGGCAGGAAATGGTTTGAGCCCACGGAAACTGGGTGAGGCGGGTGAAAACTGCCTGGCTACAGGAAAAACCAGGAATTGTTATTAAAATGATTATTAAAAATAACCAGCAATGAGTGTGGTTGGTGAGGAAAGCGGGACAGACACAGAGGCAGCATTCCATGAGGCTGGACGGGGCATTATTTTGGATGACAAGATCACCCTGCACCTACAGCGTTGGTGCCCGAAGTCCAGCATACACTGCATACACTTCACCTGTTACAAAGGCTAATGCCATAAAAAAATCAAACCTTTGTGGATGAGTCATGGAAGTGACTAACTTCCAACTGTCTGACAGTGCTGAGGCCTTGGCACAGGTTGCCCAGAGAAGCTGTGGCTGCCCCTGGATCCCTGGAAGTGTTCCAAGCCAGGTTGGACAGGACTTGGAACAACCTAGGATAGTGGAAGGTGTCCCTGCCCTGGGATAAACTTTAAGGTCCCTTCCCACCCAATCCATTCCATGATTCTAACAGCTGCAATCAATGACCTTGGAGGTCTTTTCCACCACAAACAACTCCCTGATTCTAAACAGCTGCAGAAAGAAAACCACCAGGGATGTTCCCAAACCTGACACAGGACTGGAACAGTTTTCCAAAGCTCCCAGAGCCTCCCTGCTGCGTGTGGCAGCAACTGTCACGTCAAGGCAGTTGATTGCAGACTCTGCCTAATGAACGTGGGCAGCAGATGACAGCTGCTCCGGTGCTTTGGCGCTGCTTCCAAAGCCATTCTACACTAGTAGGTGGCCGTGCTATTTTGGATGTATGAAAGCACTGCAAGGCTTGGAAACATCCAGCTCGTTCCTTGACAGTTCAGGTGGAAATAAGAGTTTCTTGACAGAAGGTGAATGGAAAAAACAAAACCCTTCGTATTCCTTTTTCTAGGAAGTGGGTTAAGTGGTGATCACAGAGAATCAGGGAATCCCAGAATGGTTTGGGTGGGAAGGGATCTCAAACATCATTTAGTTCCAACCTTGTCCTATGGGCAGGGACACCTTCCACCAGCCCAGGCTGCTCCAACCTGGTTTTGGACAATTCCAGGGATGGGGAAGCCACAGCTTCTCCAGATATTGAAGGATTTCTTAGGAAGCAGAAGGGATACAAAGACAATAGAACGCCTAAATAAGTCTCTGCATGGAAACATGGGCGAGTGCAATTCCTTATCCTGTGCCAGCAAAGTGGTTCCTCCGGCTGCAAGGACACAATGAAAGCCCACAACAGATAAGGAACATCAAGAGGGAAATTAAGAGTCTAATTGGTGTCTTAGGAGACACCTGAGCAAAATGACCTTTGGGTACTGGCAGCAGCAGTGTCTGAGAAAGCACCGATGCTATCAGCCCTCAGCCAGGATCCTTCCAAGTCCCATCCACCAGCCCCAGGAATTTGCTGGGCTGGATGGAAGAGCCTGCCTGAGACTCATGCAGATGAATCACCCACACAAACCTGAAGCCCCACCTCACACTGGGATTGAAATTTAAAACAGCCAGGAGATTATTTGCAGCCTGGTTTGGGAGCTCTGCTGACACGAGGAGCCCTCGGAGTGGCAGGAGGAAGAGCAGCCTGATCCAGGTGGGCTCCCAGCACGTGCTCCCGGGTGCCTGAGCGTGGGCTGAAGCTCCACCACTGCACACACCTACTTCCTGCAATCCTGGCAATTACCAATGGAGTGAAACCCAGTTTCTGACGTGGCTGACTCAGCAAGGGCTTGGCTCAAAACAAACACATCCACACATCCACGCAGGGAGCCGCAGCCCGGGAAGCACATGAAGGGACGGCAGCGGCAGCACTGTGGAGTTTTGGCATTTTGGGTCCAACCTGGCTGAATTCCTGGACTCCTGGCTGAATTCCTGCACTTGCTTCTTCATCCTGCTCTCCAAGTGCTCCAGCAGCTTCTCCTCGCCGCTCCTGGACTCTGGACTGCTCCAACAGGGTGTAAGTCTCTCCTGCACTCCGTTCTCCCAGCGTTGTCTCCTGCACTGTCGCTTTCTACATCCCCCTTCTCCCGTACTCCCTGGGTTCCTTCGGTGGGACTGAGTCACCGTCTCGTTCCCAGCCACCCACGGCGCTTTTCCGGCGGTGCCCCTCCGCAGAAGGTGCCTGGTTACCATGGCACCCGAGTGCCCTTCTGTTCTAGATGCCAGATTAGATCTGTTCTCATGGTGACTGTGCCTCTGCTGTTCCCCACCAGCCCGGAGCCGCAGCACACGTTTAACGAGCTCGCTCACACACCGCCGCTCCTCTCCACTCCAGGGGGAGACTCCTTCAGATCCAAGACAAGCCAAGTGCTCCTTGCCGCGGCGTGGAGTTTGCATTTCCTGCACTACCAGCCTCTCTGTGTTCCTTGCAGCTCCGGGAACGGGGCAGGAAGAGGTTGATCCTGTTGCGTGGCTCTCTGCTGATCCCTCGGCTCCCGCCTGTGAGGAGTCAGCATTCCTGCTCCTCGCTGCCTTTCCTCACCATGGATACTTGGCGCAGGGGGTCCATCAAGTCCACCACCTTCTTCCGACGCTTCTCCCTCAGGAGGCACAAAAAGCTGGGCAACCAAGTCATCATCCTGAACCAGAACAGCCACACTCTGGACAAGGACGGCCAGAAGAGGGAATGCTTGAGGGATCTGAAGGACAAGTCTGAGTACCTGTCCTGTCAGAGCGAGCAGAACCTGGCCAAGGCACAAGCCCCTCCCAAGCCTCCCCGGCTGTACCTGGACAGTTCCAGCTGCCCCAACATCATCGATCACACAGATTCCCACTCCGACCTCTCCTTTTCTGATGCTGCTCCATACCACAAAGCCACTCCGACGCATAAGGACCAGGCTACGGACCTCAGCACCTCAGAGGCAGGTCTCCCAAACAGCACCACTCTTCCCGACCTGGCTGACCCCTTCCTGTCCTTCAAAGTGGATCTGGGGCTATCGCTCCTCGAGGATGTGCTGCAGACCCTCAGGAAACAGAACCCGAGGGATTACGCCATTTGAAGGTATTCATTGTCCACCACATCCCAGTTACTCACTGCTGCTGCCAGTTCCTCCGATTCCAGCAGGAGGAAGGATACTGGAGCATGCCTGTTGTGCGTGGTCTGTTTCGTTGTCCTCGCCTTGCCCACCACAGACCATCCCTGTCCTTGCCAAGGAATCCTCTGGAGCAGAGCTCACGGCTCTGTGCTCAGGTGAGAGCACCGTCTGCTGTCTCGTGGGCAACTTTCTGCTCTCCACCCTGGGAATTTCCCACTCCGTACTGCGCGTCCCATCCTCAGGGAAGACTGGCATTTTTTGGGAAAGACTTATTTTGGGGATGTGACACTGTGGGGCAGGGACACACAGGGATTTGTCATGGATTGCTTGTGGAACAGCAGGCAGCCTGCAAGGAGGCAGCAGCACTGCACCCCGAAGCCAAAGCTTTGAGGGCTGAGAGACGGGAACTGGGGCTTCTCCTCCCACCATGTTTGGATGTGAAAGCTCAAAGCTGTTCCTCCGTTTTTTCTCTTCCTCCTTGTGGGTTTCTTTTCCCTTAACTCCAGTGCAGGTGGCACTCCCAGCCTGGAAAGAGGTAAGCATCCAAGTAGGCTCCTGATACAGCACCAGCAGTGGATTTATCCTCCTGGCAGGAGAAGAGATGTCTCTGACACTGCTGCCTCACGCATGCACTGAGCTCCCAGCTGTACAGACATAGAAGAATAAATGTATCTGTGACTGGAAGTGTCTGGTTGCCTCATTTCATTGGGAACAAGCCACAGAAATCCCAGGCACCAGGAGCACAGGGTATCTGGAGTGGCCCAGATCCATCCTCCCTGGCACTGCAGGGTTTTATGATGGGGGAGGGACACTTGTGTGGCTTTGAGGGAAGGACAGAGCTGCTGGGACTTGATTTTCCTCTGAGGGGAACTCACACAGCTTGGGGCAAGACAGGAACAGCTGCCCACCCTGAGCTGGATAGTGAGAAAGGCTCTGCCAGGCTGAGAACGTTTTGGGCAGCACCAGGACAAACTGCTAAAAGAAACTACCAGTTATTACCTTTTTGACTATTAGGGCTCTTTTAAAAAACAACAATAATAAAACCTCCATGCCCCCAGATCACCAGGAGCTTTGGAAGTGGCCACAGCAAAGTGCAGGGACACTCCAGGGAAGGCACAGCTGCCTCTTACCCTGCGAGATTCACCTCCCAAAGTTAAATAATAGGAAATAAACCCTCTGAAGGAGCTTAGAACAGGTACAAGAACTCCAAGCAGGAGGCTTTCCTCAGGGCTGAATGGATGAGGAGCCCTGGCAGGGAGATTCCACTGCAGGAGCAGGGAAAGTCTTTCCAAAACTGAGCATTGCATGCTGTTGGAATGGCAAAACAAGCTCTCTGCAGCCACTGTGTGCTTTGAACCATCACACAGCCACTGCTCTCAATGGCCTGGAGGAATACTGTTCAAGCCACAGCTTTTGAATTCCAAGGGGAACTGGAGCCTGCTTGGCTGCAGCAGCTCTCCAGGAACTGCTGGTCAAACGTGCACCTGTTGCTGTACGAGACAAGGCTGTGGAAGATGAGCAGCTTCCACCTGGGAACTGCTCCCAAACCCCCTGGCTGGGGTCTGGCTGTCCTTTACCTGTGGATTTTGGCACTCAGGTCCTGGCTGGCTCTCCCAGGCAGGGAGTACTGGCTGCTTGTCCCAGACAGGGAGCAGAGGATGAGTAGTGAGCGTGTTGCCATGAGAACGCTGCAGGCTTGGGCTGTTTCCTGAAGCAGAGCAGCAGAGGAGCTGCTTTTGCACAGAGTGGGAACAAAACGGGGGCGGATTCAGACAAAAACAGAGGGGAGAAGCGAATAGGAAGCAAGGGCAGCTTAAATCAGAATGAGGTAAGTGCAGCCTGGAAGCAAGAACGTGGAGCCTGGTGGCTGGGAAGCCAGGCTGGGTGTGAAGGGAAGAGGCAGAGGGAACAGGGATCTGGGAGCTCACCCTGTACGCTCTTGAACTGGAGAGCATGAGCTAAGTCAGCTGGAAGCAGATCAGCCAAGAGGAACTGTAAACACATTGCAGGTTTTAGAAGCATCCTAGTGGATGCAGCAGGAGGATTTGGGGAGGGTCTGGAGTGGGAACAAGGGAAAACAGGAAAGAGAGCAGCTTGGAGATGCCAGGCTGCAGCTCAATCCCAGACAGTGCAGCTCCTTACAGCTAAAAGCAGCAGAAAGGACAGCAAAGCATCAGCTGTGCAGCTCCTGGGCAGGATGCAGGTCCCTGGCAGCAGCTCCTCGGCATTCCCAGAGCCAGGTGGGATTGAGGAGGCTGTGCTGGGCACAGGTGAGTCACCAGCACCGTGCGCTGCTTTCCTGCTCTCCCTGCTGCCCCACCACACTAATCCTGCACCGCAGGCAGACGCTGCACTTCCACACTAACAAGCTCATGGCATGGAAACAGGCCAAGACAAACTCAGGGATCTGAACCCACAGAGGCTGGAATCCACTACCAACCTCCAACAGCACCAGCAACCCCTTTGGTAGGAATGAGCCAGTTCTCACTCTCTGCCAGTGAGAAACTCTCAAATAACATGGTTTGTTATTTGAGAATTTCTCACCAGTTCCCTTCCTAACACTCCTGTGGTTCACCACTCCTGTGGTGAATCTCCTGTGGCTGCAGGACTCTCCCTGGTCCTATATGGACAGGATAACAATCAGGGGTTTTGATGCATAATTACAAGTAATATAAATAAAATACTTAATAAAACATCAAGAGAATGAATGCACTGAACAATCTCACAAGCTTAAAATATTTAGGGAGTGAACACACAAAAGGATATTTAACTTGATATTGCTGTCTCCTCCCTCCTGCAGACCTCTAAGAAAAGAGGTTTGCTTCCAGCACTGAAACTTCCTCCTCCTGGGAATGCAGTGAGCAACCATGGCTCTCTAAAGGAACCTTTCAGCAGCTGTCACTCAGAGGATTCCAACAGTCAAGAACATATTAAAAAATCCCATCAGAATGGCACTGGAGGCTTTGGGCTGAGCAGGGAACATCCTTGTTCTTCACTTGAGAGAAAGGGAATGTGTGAAGACCCAAACAGCTCCCAGTGTGCTGCTGCCCAGGCAGGAGGTCCTTTAGAAGGCCACTGATCCAGCACAGAAAGGGCTGCTGGGAAAGCCAGGCCTGGCCCAAAAAGCTTCTACCTGACAGCACTCTGAGATTCAGGTTGTTACAGCACCAGATTTCCATCTCCTTACCTGTGAGCTCCTGGGCTGGCTGGTGCTGTCAGGGAGGACGGTGCTGGGGCGGCTCTGGGGCTGGCCCTCCAGCCAGGAAATCTTCAGGGGGTTATTTAGCAGGCCAACCTCATTCTTCACAGCCATCTCCTGGCAGGGAAAACACCCTTCCATCATCACCTGAATTTCAGACCCTGCTCCCTCACGAGTCCCTAAGAATCATGCTCCCATCTCAGAATGGCCTCAAGGCCAAGTAGGGCACAAACTCTCTGGAAGTGTCCCAGGACAGGCTGGATGGGGCTTGGAGCAACCTGGGCTAGTGGATGGTGTCCCTGCCCATGGCTGGGGGCTTGAAATGGATGGTCTTTTAAGGCCCCTTCAAATCCAAACTATTCTATGATTCCACTCTGTAAGATTTTAAGGATCTTTCCAACCCAAACCATTCCATGACTCTCAGATTTCACAGCTGCCCTACATGAGAAGTACCTCTATGGTCCACACCCCTGCCAGCACTTTTGATATACAGGTCACACACAGTTCTGGGGGTTTTTATCATTTGGATATGAGTGAAAGAAAAGCTAACAAGGAAAGTCTCATACAGCCCAAGCTGATGGAACTATAAAACTTAGGGTAACTGATGACTTCTGCTCCCACAGCCACCTGAGTTATTATAGCTCACAGTGAGTCAAGACATTTTGGGTTGTTTTTCACTGCAAATGCCTGGTATCACCTCCAAAACACATAAGCCCAACTCCAAGGCATTTCACCTCCACAGAGAGCTGAGTAAGTGCTCAGTGCCTGATTTCTAAGGCAGTGCCTCTTCCCTCAGCCTGTTCCACGCACAACCTGTTTATGTGCCTGATCTCTGGGTTTGTGCCTCCAGCTGTGCCACACCCTCCGTGCCTTTTGACTCTCATTACCCTTCTCCACTGCCTTAATGACAGGGCAGTGTCCTGGCTGTCACCTGTCCTGTGCCACCCCCAGCACACCCAGCAGGGGCTCTGCACACTCACAGCTGCCTTCACCGTGGCAAATTCCACCACTGCGCTCCCAGTCTTCCTGCTGGAGATCAACAAATTGAGCACATCACCATACTGTGGGAAGAAAGAAAGGAAGGAAAGTTAATTACAGAGCCAGGAGACATGTCAAGTTCAGTTATCAAATGAACACAAAGAGAAAACGTGTGTTTTCACAGACATGAGGCTTGAGCTGTCACCACTTCTGTCCTGCTTCCACTGATCCCACCATTTCTGTCCCTCCAGGAAATAATCTGGGAAGGCATGGAGCTACACACTTGGCTCCCCCGTGCAAGAGGGCTGCTGAGCTCAGAGTCAGAGCTCAGAGGGAAAAGAAAGATGCCAGGGTGGGAATGATCAGATCAAAGGCTTGTCTGTGCCTGTCTCTGCACTTCCCACAGCAGGGATGTGGAGTGCTTGAAGTGAAGGATGGCTGCACCACAAGCACAGAGCCAGACAAAGTGGGCAGGAAGCATCCAGTGGGAAGAGTCTGCAGTTGCTGCTTCAGCCAGAGCTGTTAGCTGGGAAACAGCTCCCAGCTCAGGGATCAAAGGATCCAACTTGGTTCAAAGGTTGGATTTGATGATTTAAGAGATCTTTTCCAACCTTAATGACTCCATGATCATGCTGATGAGCTCTGAAAACTGCATAAGAAAGCTGAACAAGGAAGGAAATGAGCCACTCCAGTTTATAGCTTACAAAGGCATGGAGTGACAGGACACAGGGAATAACTTCAAACCAGCTGTTCAGATGAGATTACTTGTTCAGATTAGATTATTAGGATAAAATCCTTCCCTGTGCAGGTGCTGAGGCCCTGGCACAGGCTGCCCAGAGGAGCTGAGGCTGCCCCATCCCTGGAAGTGTCCAAGGCCAGACTGGACAGGTCTTGGAGCAACTTGGTCTAGTGGAAGGTGTCTGCCTGTGGCAAGGGGTGGAACTGAATTATTTTTAAGGTCCCTTCCTACCCAAACCATTCCATGATTCTGTGATATGCAGCTTCCCAGAATTCACTATTCTTACAGCACTTGGATCAGGGGAAGACCCAGTAATACAAAGGGAGGAGTGTCAGACAGGACCTTCTGTAGGATCTTCAGCAGCACATCTTTGGAGTATCCCCCTCCAGTCTCATCTTCCTTCCTGCATTTCCACCTGAGCTGGAAACAAACGGCAGGAGTTAATTTTTCCCGTTTGGATGATTTTTCCCTGCTCAAGCAGCTCCCACCCCCCTGCACATTCACCACTTCTGCTATTTCCAGCCACACTCCCAGGCCTGCCAAGACAGTGATCTCAGCATGGGAGTGAGCACAGGGAACAAACTGTTTGGGGAACAGGGAGAAACGCTGCTCACTGGAATAAAAAAAGATCGCACTTGAAAGGATGCTAATGGCTCTGTCAGGGTAATTAACAGCTGTTTCCTTGTGCTTAAAGCACAGACAACTCAATCCCAGGCTCAGAAATCTGGAGCAGACAAAGAAAAGGTGAGTGAGGAAGGAATTCTAACAGCAAGGACAGGAGCTGTTCACCTGATGATGCACATTCCATGAAGGAATTTCATCTCCAGTACAAAAAAGAATGTGCCAGCTTAGCAGGGTTGAAATGTCCCTTCTGTTTTCCACCATGTTCTATCAGTTTTCACCAAAACACAGCTTTTTAAGGATGTCTTACCTTGAGCTTAGGAGTTATTTTGCCTTCTGCTCCATTTCTTTCCTGCCTGCCTAAAAAAAAAAAATCAAAGGAAAGGACATGGGTGAAAATTCCTCAGCATTTTGCACAATTTTTTTCCCTGAGAACATACACATGATGAAACACTTTGGGATTTCCAGTGGACCATTGCAGTCCCAAAAATCTCGTGCAACAGGAACTGCAGCACAGACTGAACACTCCATGGCAGCACTTTTCCCTTTTAGGAAGCACAGACTTGCCACGATCAAGGCTACAAACAGGTCAGCAAAAACACAAGCAGCAGACATGTTCTGAGGCATTTTTCCCTGCAAGGTTGGAAAAACTCAGGGTGGACAGCTGCCAAAGAGCCCGAGGCCAGCTGCAGGTGCTCCCCTGTGCTCACCTCGGCTGTGCTGCTCCCTTTCCAGACGGATCTGCTCCCTGACCAGCCTCTGCTGCTCCTCCAGCTGCCGGGAGCCCTCCTCACGCAGGCGGATTATCTACGGCACAGGGAACACAGCACGGGCACCTGAGGCACACAGCCAGGGCTGGAATGTCACCTGGAGGCTTCCAAGGACAGCCTGGGCATCACACCCATCTCCTGGGACACCCCTCCTGCCAGTTGCCCTGGGACAGCTCCAAAAGGAGCAGCCTGGTCTGGTGGAAGGGGTCCCTGAGCATGGCAGGGGCTGGAACTGGATGGGCTTTAAGGTTCCTTCCCACTCAAACCATTCCAGGATTCTCTGATTCACAGAGCCTTTTAATCCCAAAGGTTGAAGGATTGCTCTCCAGAGATTTTTTTGCACCTCATCCCATGGATTTCATCAGGAACGGAAATAATTCCAGCAATTCTTCTCAAAAATAGCAGAGGGAACTAAGAATTTATCCTTACTTCTTCTTCTAATGATCTCGTTATCCTGATCTCCTCCTCTTCATTCTCCTGGGACTGGGCTTCCCGTTCTCTGGCTTCAAGATCTGCAGAGAAAGAAACAAAATTAAAACAATCCAAAGAGAACTTGAGTTTTCCCTGCTGCCCAGAGGAAGATGGATAGATCACAAACTCGGCTGCAGCTACACCCATGTCCTGACAGCTCTGCTGCCTCTCCTCTGGCCCCGCACACCAAAGGAACCTTAACCCCCTAATTCCCACTGCAGGACCTAATTCCCTCCTTCCCAGAGCAGGACTACCCCAGCTATGGCTGTGGGAGAAGATTCCAGGTCTACTGGACTGTAATAGGGATGAAGAAACCAGAGTCATCCCCCATGGACTGACGCCCGTGGAAGGAGAAATGCAAACAGCCAGCTAGGGGAGACCTCAGGAGAACATGAGGGTTTGATTTTCTCACCAAGCTTTACTTTCTTCCTCTTCTCATCGAGTTTCTGTGTCCTTGCTGCAGCCTCCTTCTTCGCCCTCCTCACCCTGTCATAGGCTGCCTGCCAAGGAACCAGCACAACAGTGGGAAACTACGGAAACCAGGAGAGAAACTGGAAAACAGGGAACACAATGACATCAGGGACTGAAACCCTGTCAGCAGGGCTGGAGCATCTGCTGCTTCTTGGATGACAAGCTTTGCCAGTACCTGAGAAGAGGAGCTCGTGTTTTTAGCTTCTATCACCTGGAATCAACAGTTTTCCCTCTCCTGAGATAATCTGGAGAGAGTTCCTTGCTCATTTTTTGGTTTTATTCTTTCTAGGGACATTTCCAGGGTCTTTTAGGCCTTGGGCAGTGGGTTCTCAGCCACTTCCCCACAGCCTCAGAAGGATCCAAGCTCTCCTGTGTCCCTCAGACAGTAAAGCCTGGAGTCTCAGGAATTGCATCCAGGTATTACTCATTTGTCAGCCCCTGACTCAACAGGAATGGCAGATGTTGCCATGGGAATTTGGTGTTCCTGAACCAGGGATGGTGTTGTTAATCCAGGTATTACTCATTTGTCAGCCCCTGACTCAACAGGAATGGCAGATGTTGCCATGGGAATTTGGTGTTCCTGAACCAGGGATGGTGTTGTTAAATGGGATATGCCCCAGTCCAGCACGTTATTAAAGGCAGAATCTCAGGGCAGAACTGCTCCCAGCAGCAAATCCCAAACACCACATTTCTCCAAGCTGTTACCTGGCACCTGAGATCTGACCTCATGGAGAACCAGGGTATATGGAGGAAGGAAACCGAAGAGGGGAAAGGAAAGGAAAAAGAGAGGGAGAAAAAAAGGGGGAGATGATAAAAAAATGGGGGAAGGGAAAAAAACCAAAAAGAAAACCAAAAAGAGGGAGAGGGAACCAAAAAGGGGAAAGGAAAGAAAGAGGGAAAGGAAAAGAAATGGGGAAAGGAAGAGAAGTGGAAAAGAAAAATAAAAGAGGTAAAGAGAACGAAAAATGGGGAAATGGAGGGGGAAAAAGTGGAAAGGAAAACAAAAAGGCGGGGAGAAGGAAAACAAAAAGGGGGGGAGAAGGAAAAAAAGAAGCCACTGTATCCCACTCCCAACCAATTCCCTGCTATAACAAGTGGAAAAAGTTGCGTCCCGGCCCCACCTGGTGGACAAAGCTCCCGGGATTGGGAATGTGCAGGAAAAGCCCTGCGGATGACCCCACCTCCCGCATAAGAGTGCAGCTGAGGGAGAGGGATCTCCTCGCCGGGCTCCATCCTCCAACTTGCCATTTCAGGCAAGAATTGCCCCGCACTGTCCCGCCTAACCCCGCTCCCTGGCAGCGGGCAGCCATTCCCTTGTTATCCCGGTATTCCAGGCCCTCGGCCCGAGCCCCTCTGCAGCTCTCTCGGAGCTTCCCTCCTGTGTTTAGCACTGACTAACCAACGCAACTCGATTCAAAACCGCCAACGAGTCATCCCAAGCCCACAAAATTAACTACGTGACTTTTGGGCGCTCGGACAAACGCCTGACAGCAGGATTTTTGGATCAACACGGGAATTTCCCTTCTGGAAGCACATAAACAAAGCGAGAACAACATGTCCCAGAACGACCCCGCAGTTCTCCCTTCCTCCACAGGCGGGTTCCGCCCCGCAGGATTGAGGGGTGAACTGGGGGAACGAGGCCAATTCCAGTAAAACCGGGATATGACAACGCAATGTCAGTAAAAACGGGATTTTTCCGTCCGACAGCCCCGGTCCCGCAGCAGCGCTTGGAGCAGCCCCTCAGCTCAGCGCCGCGCCGGGAACGCGCCGCTCCCAAGGAGACCGGGAAAGGGATGGAGGGGAGAGAAGGAGCCCGTCCCGAGCCGCCCGCGCCCCTCACCTCCTTCTCGGACGCTTTCTCGCCGATCCCCAGCAGCCCGTAGAGGTCCCGCTCCAGCAGCTCCTTATCCACCGCCATCTTCGCGCTTCCCGGTTCCGCTCCTGGCGCCGCGGTCGCTGGGAAATGTAGTCCTCGCACGTCGCCTCACCACGCGCCACCCGGGAAGGTGGACTACAAGCACCGTGATGCACCACGCGGCCTCAGAGGACGGCAACAGTCAAGGTGCGCAGCCCCCTGCTGGGCATGTTGGGTACTGTAGTTCTTTAGCGGCTGCTGAGAGCGGGGCTAAACTAGATAAAAACTACAAGTCCCGTGGGGCCGTGCGCGGGCACTGAGTCCTTAGGGAAAACGGCACGTGGGACCTGCGGTCCCCCAAGGTCACCGCTGACCGTGTCCCCAAGTGCCACAGACGGATCCACATCCACGCGCTAAATCCCTCCAGGGATGGCACTCCACCACCTCCTCGGGAAGCCTGTGGTAGTGGGAGGTGGTGTGAGCCCAGCTGCACCCTCTTCCCAAAAACATACTTGTTTTTGTTGTCCCCAAAAAACATCCATCTCAGCCCAAGGCACAGCTCCTTGGGAAATTTTTGTCTTCTTACTGATCTAAGATACCTCCCTTCCCCCCCCCCCCCCCCACTGCTCTAAGAAGGGAGCACTGTAGAAGAAAGCCTATCCAATTATTTTCATATGCAGGAGACGGAATTTTTCAGCCCTTACTCCTTTATTTTAGCAGGATTTGTGTCCTCATGGCTGAAGGTTACTTAACTTACTTTGTCAACAATAGCAACAAACCTGAGATCAACCTGAGATCATGAAGAAAACTGGATAGCCATGATTCCAGCAAAATGAATTGCTTCAGGAGAGCCGTTCTTAGCCGGTAGTGCAACAAACTGAAAGGTTCCTGGTGTGTCTCCATGGATCCTCGCCCGAGCACAGCCTCAGCTCTCCGGGTGCAGCCCCAAGTCATTGTCGTGTTGCTTCAATCCCTGCTCCACTGCCACCTCCTCCTTCTTGATGAGAATCCTGGAGTGGTTTGTGCTCAAAGGGAGCTTGAAGAGCATCCAGTTCCACCCCTTGCCATGGGCAGGGACATTTTCCACTATCCCAGGCTGCTACAAACCCTGACCTGGAATGCATCCCTGTCCAACCTGACCTGGAATGCTGCCAGGGATGGGACAGCCACAGCTGCTCTGGTCAACCTGTGCCAGGGCCTCACCCCTGAACAGGGAACGATTTCTTCCCTATTTCACGATTTATTCCACCTAAATCTCCCCTTTTCCATTTTGGAGCCATTCCCCTTGTCCTAACCCGGCAGTTCCTGATGGGTTGTAGCCCTGGCCATGCTGAGGCCACCTGCAGCCATCATGGGGCCACCTTGGGCACCTCCTGTGGCCTCCCCCTGAGGATCCCTTTTGGGTCCCACTCCTGTGACACCTTCTTGCCCTACAAGACAGAAAATTTATCCCCCGACGCCTGTCCCTAAAGCCAAGCACAGCGCCTCAGCCCTTCGGGGCTGTGCCGCGCCTCAACAGCGGCCCTTTGTGACAGCGCCATCAGTGACATCACAGCAGCCACGGGACGCGTCACAAAAGCAGGACAGGGGGCCCAGAGCCGCAATCCCATGGGGAGACCCGTGGGATGCAAACACCGCTATTCCAGCCCCACCACGGCCCCGCTGGTGAGGCGTGGGGCGGCCCCGGGGGGACGAGGAGCCGCGGGGTTTCGGGGAGAGCTACCTGCAAACACTTTGTGCCTCTTGCAGGGCGAGATGTCATCGAGGGAGGACACTCCGGAGCCGAGCACCTCTGCTGCCGGCACCAGCCAGGCGGCCCCGGCCGCGCCGCGGGACGACAACCGGGAGGACGCCGCGTGCCCGGAGTGCCGGCACATCAGCACGGCGTGCTCCAGCTCCTGCCGGCACTGCTTCTGCCAGCTGTGCCTGTGGGACTGGAGCCTGGGCGAGGCCACGTGCCCGCGGTGCCAGCGGCCCACGCGGCACCCCTACCCCCAGCACGTGGCCCTGTACCACGAGGTGCAGGAGCGGGTGTACGACAGGAAGCGGAGGTGGCGCGGCCACTCCGCGCGGAGCTGGTCCGGGCACGTCGGGCCCTGGGAGAGGAGGTCAAGGAGATCCGTGAGGTGGCCCCGCGATGGCCGCCGGCAGTCTCTGCACACCCGAGGCAGCAACTCCCCGAGGAGGAGGTGGTGGCAGCAGCAGAGAAGGGCTTGGGAGGACACGCCTGAGGAGGGACAAACTCCGAGGTTTGAATGGACCGTGCCGGCCTCCTCGCAGGCACGGCGATCCCAGCGCAGGTCCCGCAGGTCATGGAGCCAGCAGGAGCGGTCCGGGGGCCGCCGCAGGTGGAGCAGGGGCAGGGAGCGTTCCCGTGGCTGGGACGGGTCCTCCAGGAGAGAGCAGGAGACACAGACAGGCTCCCCCGAGCACTCGGTACGGCAGAGGCGCTGGAGGAGCTGGAATGCTGATGACAGACACACTCCAGGGCCCCAGCACGATGACCCCTCAGAGAGGAGCGAGACACACCAGTCGGAAGACTCCGATTCCTCCAGACAGCAGCACACAAGAAGGAGGCAAAGCCGGGGCAGATCCCACAGGAGAGGCCAGAACTCCCAGGCAGGCTCCCAGAGAACGGTGCCCCACGCGCGCTCCACAAACCAGAGGCGCTGGAGGAGCTGGAACGCTGCTGACAGACACACTCCAAGGCCCCAACATGACACCCCCTTGAGGAGGAGCGAGAGACACCAGCGGGAAGAGCGGGATTCCTCCAGGCAACAGCACGCGACAAGGAGCAGAACCCAGGGCAGATCCTACAGAAGCCAGAACTCCCAGAGAGCCTCCCAGAGAACAGCGCGTCGCCACCACTCCACGGGTCAGAGGCAGTGGAGGAGCTGGAATGATGACCGGGAACAAGCTCCAAGGTCCCAGCGGGACATCCCGGGCTCCTCAAGGAGGAGCCGGCACCGGCGCAGGGACACATAGCCCACCCTCCCAAAATGGGAATTGCCACGCTGAGGCTCAGCCCAGGGTGTCCAGGCAGGCTTTGGTGATCTCCCACGATGGAGCCACCAGATCTCCCCTGGACATCCTGTTCCAGGGCTTGACTTGCTGCAAATAAACAAATGCCACTTGAGCCAGCACTCCCTTTCTTCTTGTTGTGTTTTTGCCACCTCAGGAGCCTCCACAGATATTTTGGAGCATCCCATGCCCTTGGGTTGCCCTCATGAGTTTCATCCTTTCGCTCTGTGATCTCCCCCAGCATCATTGAGTGAATCTGTGGATCAAGGAGCTGAGGGGCTCTTCCCCTCTCCATGCCCTCACAGCCTTTCCATGGAAACCTGACTTGGCTTTTGCCTTTGCTTTCCCTTCAGTTTTATCCAGGGAAGTTTTGCTGGGAGAAGTTAGTACCCCTTAGAAGAAGTTAGTACCCCGTAGCATTTTTTCAGCAGAGCCACAGCTCAGTGCAGGAATATTTTCCCCAAAAACCTACAGTGTGGCTGACACAAATCAGTGCTGGAGGTGCCCAAGCCCAGCTCCAGGGCCAAAACTTGCCCTGACCTTCTCTCCCAGCTGTCACCCAGCCCCTGTCCCCAAATGCCAGCCTTTGGAATCACCTCACTAACCTGCAGTGTCCCACTGACCTCCAATTTGGGGTGTCAGCATAGCTGATCATCCCCCTAGATGCATATTCAGCATGTGGGATGTGGATTTTGCCTATGGATACAGTCTCTGCTGGATGGAAGGAGCCTGGTCACACTGGATCCCTCTTGAACTGCAAGAAATAATTGGAAAAAAGCCATAAAATTCAACAAATGGTGAAAAGCAGGAGCCTGGGCACACAGGAGGTGGGCAAGGATCCTCGATATCCACATCATGCTCTGGTAGAGCCACTCCTCTGCTTGATCAAGTTTATTTTTCTTCCACAGAAACCTGCTTTAAAAGCACCTGGAATTCATTCATTTCCCCAAATTTACTCAGAAGGTGGGCTCTTGCTACCTGGAGACCAGACACAGCCTCAGGTGGGAGAAGCACTGCTCAGCACAGGAGGTGGCCACACACAGCACCAAAACTATCCTGGTAGTTTACCCCTAGATTTAATTTTTTCATTAAATACAAAACTTCTCCTCAGGTATAAGCTGATGTTTGTTTATCTCCTGTAAAATCCTCTCACTGCCTCTCTGAACGTGGTGCCAGGGACCTGGAAATGCTGGACATTCCCACTTGAACATACACATACACAAGTATTTCACCAGGAAAATCCTGGGAAAAAATGCAGCATTCAATGTGGATGGATGCTGGTGGCAGAGCCACTGCTTTAGGGTAACAACGAGTAAGAAAATGCAGACAATTTCTGCTGAAGTAAAAAACAAAACAAAACAAAAAAGGATCTGGGAAAAGTGCAAAGAGGCTGGAAGTCTGAGGGGTGTGCTGCCCTCGGAGGTGTCTGTCCCAGAGCTGCCCAGCCTGGATTCAGGAGGTCTTTACGAACACGGGCACCTCGGCCAGGCTGGCAGAGTAATTCCTGAGCGTGGTGCCACCATCAAACACTCGGGCAGTGTTGGTGTCCAGCCAGAGGTGCCCCTCTCCTGGCAGGTAGATATCCCTCCACGTTTGTCCCTTTTCTGTTATTGGAGCAACCAGGACCTGCAGGGAGAAGAAAAAGAAAGAAAAAAGAACTTCAGCAGAGGGAGGATTAGCCAGGGTGTGCGTGTGGGGATGAGATGGTCATCAGGGAATCCTGGAATGGTTTGGGTGGGAAGAGACCTTAAAAAGCATCCAGTGCCACCCCCTGCCATGGGCAGGGTCACCTTCCACTAGCCCAGGTTGCTCCAAGCCCCATCCAACCTGCCTTGGACACTGCCAGGGATGGAGCAGCCACAGCTTCTCTGGGCAGCCTGTGCCAGGGCCTCAGCACCCTCACTGGGAATTCCTTCCCAATCCCATCTATCCCTGCCTTCTGTCAGTTTAGAAATATTAATGCAGTGCAGTGAGATTCCTTTGATTGGGATCATCCCTGCCTGCAGCTGCCCCAAGATTCCATCCAATTTATATTTTTGAAAACCAGAACAGAAAAAAACCCATCAGAAATGTGTGTTTCTTGCAAAACCTCCTCTCCTGTGATAAAACCAATGTAATCCCACCTTCAGGGAGCATTTTCCCCCCTGTTTTATGGGAAAAGCAGTTCCCAAAAGCAGTTCCCAACATTCTGAGACTTTTTATTCCTGCTAAA